TATATTTAAGCGACATCTTGACGGTACACGCTGAACTATGAAACTTCTTTATAAATATACTGCCAACTATCAATGACAGCAACCAATGACAACAACAATAGAACGTATTTGTATTGCAAAATACTTCCACCTTGCAGATGGCGTCAAACCAAACGTCATTCTAGTCATTTTTCTCATTGGTTTTCCAATTGACGTTTTTCCCATCGCCCATTGACAAATGTCTCAATGTTGATTTTTCCGGTACCCAAAACATCAATTACTTTATCATCGGCTAACTTTACCCCGCGCTGTGCTCCCTCTGTAGAAAATTCAGTGAACCAATCTTTGCGCTTTGAAATGTGCTTTGTTGCAGCAGAATCGCCGATCCACAAATCATCATAATTTGCCGTCAAAATTGTATCGATCGCAGAAAAACCCATTCTTTTTGATTCCGTGCTTGCTTTTCCGCTCGATTTCTTGCTTTTAGCGACACAGTCCTTTTTCCAATGTCCAGTTTGACCACAAGAAAAGCAAGTAGACTTTGATTTCTTATCCAAATCGGGCTTCTTCTTCTTATTCTTGTTATATCCCGTCGCACTGAACGCTGCTTCGACTGACGCCTTTGAATCGCGCTCAACTTTGTTCATTGAATCTTCCTCAAGCTGTAATTTCTCCAACAGTGTTTCCATAGTGCGACAATCTTTGATGTTATACCAAACTGTGCGAAAATTACTGAATTTCGGAGACAAACCGCTGATCAATGGACATAACTTGAGATTATCTGTTAACTTTTCATCCAGTTCTTCAAGTTCATGCGCCAAATTGTTAACCCTTGATACGTACGCCGCCACCTTTTCATCCTCCGCCATTCTCACCGCAAAATACTCTTCGTACAATCCCATCACTTTCACATCGCTTTTCTGGTTGTGTATACTTTCCAACAAATCCATAATTCCTTTCGACGATGTGCAGCTCAAAACCAGCCTACTCTGATCCGTATTCAATGATGCGAACAACACCGACATTGCCAAGCCGTCTTTTTGCATCCATTTCTTCAACTCAGATTCTGCAGTTTCTGCCGGATTCGCTGCCTTGCCGCTGATAATATCTTCCAACTCCTGTGCCCTCAAAACAGCATTTATTTGGAATTTATTTGTCTTGAAATTACTTCCATCAAGCCGATGCGAAATCAATGGATTTTCTATCGCTGTCCCGTTCATGTTGAATTTCACAATACTTCAGTGTATTGCACCACGTACCGCAATGAATTTCACAATATACCGAAATCCGTAAAATCTCGCAGAAATTAATTCAATTTGTTAATTTTTCCCCTTATCCAAATTACTTTCAATATTTTACGTGATCTGGGTCCATAACCTGTGAGAATTATTTGATTAAAAAGCGAAAAACTGGCATTTACTTCGGAATATATTTAATGGTTGACTGTGTTGTACAAAGTGTGAAATGAGAATGAATCATATTTGAGAATGACTAATGCTATTGAAAACTACTTTGTTCTGATTGGCTGACCTAAAACTGAGCGAAATTGCAAGCTCTGAACGAAATGTCATAGTGCCCATTGGCTGCGTACTTTATGCTGAGTAAAAATGTTTTTAATTCAATTTCAATTTCTTTAACAGAAATGTTTCAAGAACAGACAGTTTCCATACAAAACACGAAATCAATCAAAATTCACATGGGGTTTGCAGAATCGGCTGAAACTTTGCATGAAATATGGTTTGGACAAAAACTCGGAAATCTACATTTTTCCGTAGGGTCTGCCATTGGATCCGAAAATCGAAATTTCGAAAATTTCGGATTTTTGAACCATTGATAGAATACTTCAACGCAATCATAGTTGAATAAAATGTGACACTAAATTTTGTACAGTTTTTGACGAAAAAGCGAGTGGTGGTTTTAGTTTTCATTTCTGATTAGCCGTTTCGAAAAATTTATTTGGTTAAAATAAAAGTAATAGGTAATAAGATGGTTAAGATCTTATTACATTTATTGATTTTCAATTTCAACTAGCTGACTAACAGAAAAAAATTTCTTAAATTTTTTCTGTTCAGTTTTCAACACACTCAATATTATAGCGACATCTATTATTAAAATAGCTTGTAGTAAACGCATTCATAGCATTTCACTGTAGTTGCGATGTTACCTATTAAATTCCCCTGTGATATGTAGTTAACAAGTGTCAAACATGAATGTGTCAGTACTACAAGGGAACTTAATAGGAAACATCGCAACTACAGGGAAATGCTATAAATGCATTTACTACAAGCTATTTTAATAATAGATGTCGCTATAATATTGAGTGTGAACGAAGAATCGTTGTAGTCTGCATTTCTGATGAGCCGTTTCTAAAAATTTAACTGGTTGAAGTAAAAGTAATAATAAGATAGGATTTCATTTTATTACTTTGCATTCAAGAGATTTTTTAGAAATTTATTTCTGTTGGTATTTAGCTGAAATGTACAAAAATGATTTACTTCTATATTTTCGGCATGGCGTTTCAATAGATCCGTTCTCTCTGTGTACCATTAAACAAATTATTAAATAAATATAAATTCAAATTGCATATATTGATACTCCAAGTTGCATTTGTGTTATTTTCCATTAAGCAATGTAAATTATGGGGATTTCCATTTTTCATCATTATATTTTTCAGCGCTGCAACAGTCTGGTACAACTGGGCCAAATGATTCATGAACTTCTTTAGTTTATCTTTTATATTGTTTGCTACCCATTACTTTTTCGAACTCTAAATTATAGGGAAAAAACTGTACCTCAAATTTCAATACATTACGTACGATTTCAAAAGTTATAAATAATTAGGTAATAAATTTTGGACCAAATAGTTCAAAAGTTAAAAAATGAGAATCATAAATGAACAATTACGATAAAAAGTTGCCTTCAGAATAATTCAGAACTGAAGTGGAACATGGATTTTGTCTACGAACCAAGAGCAAGAACGCAAGATTCATTATATGGGAGAACCAAAAAGAAACAAGGAAAATATGAGAAACAAAGTGCAACATAGCGAGTCATGTTACAGTCTAAGGCCGAAACTTGCTTTGTTTCTCTTTGGTTTTTCAAGTTAGCGTTGTTTCTCTTTATAACTAATTTCGTGCATGATGCAGTTTGTTTGAAAATTTTATTATGTTGACAGTGGCGTACCTAGAGGGGTTTTGGGGTTCAAACCCCTATCAAAAATGGAATCGTCCCAAAGAAAACTTTACAATATACCAAGAAAAAATTGAATTTCAGGATACTTAATATTGAAAGTTCGGCTCGCTTCGCCCGCCACACAAATTTTTCGATTGGGATATGGGCAACATTGTGTGAAATTTTATCAACTGAGTAGCTAGTCGCTTAATTTCGAACATTTTGGCTATTGACTGACTTAAAAAGATTATCTCGAACGAAAAAGGCGACTGTACTCACTGAGAAATGCTATAGTGAATTGTACGAGAACTTTCAGTAATTTGATAAATGGCCACCATTACATTGACAGGCATAGTATGTATTTACTATGCTGTGCAATACTACTATGTCACAAAGTAGTATTGGTGGTAATGTCTCGCGGCAAAGTAAATACAATACAATGCAAACACATACTATGCCTGTCAAAGTAATGATGTTGATTGGTCGAATTACCAATAGGTGTTGCACCAATTTCAAAATGATTTCTCTGTGAGTAGTTATCTTTAGTTATAGCCTGATATTTATTCTTCAGTCAATATGTCTGCAATTAAACGACTGATTGAGAAGTGAAGAAAAGCCGACTATTTTTCATACAAGATTCCAAAAACCAATTTTACTATCTGTGAATTAAATCACTTTTAATCGATTTAAGCAGTCAGTCAGAATATATTCACATGAGATGATTAATGCCCATTCCAAGTGCTCAGACTTCAACTTGAAGTCGCGACTTTAACTTTTTAACTTTTTTCTACATGCATATAAATGGTGCATGAAAATTGTGGAACCAAATAATGATCAGTGGACCCAAAACACCCAATGATTTCATTAGCTTTAGCATTTAGTCGCGACTTTAAATTTAAAATTTCTAGGGGAATATCACGAAAAAACTCTATTGAATTTTTATTGATTTTTAGTGATTTTTTGGCAGTTTTTAAAAATTATTTTCAATTATATTAGATTGTGCGAGATATCTGAGATTTTTTCAGATATACCGCGTTATTGCGATCTGAATAGTATTGTCAGCACCACCACAATGACAACCATTTTGACAGCACGACAATGAAAATTATACAGAAACAATATTTTTGTTTGTGACACTTTCCATAGTGAATCTGAAGTTTTTTATTTGAAGTTTTGTGTATTTTTGTAATTCAAATGGATATTTTTGCCTATATGTTTATGATATTTAGTTTTGAAAATTTGACAGTTCGAGCGTGCTCACGCCATCTTGAATTTTACCATTGAACATATCTTCACGAATTGGCAAAAATTCACATTTGTTTTCAAAATTCAGCATAATCTCAAATATTACACCATATCTCACATGGTGAATACGAGTGAATAATACAGATTTTGCGAAATATTTGAAATAACATAGAATTTATTGGATTTGAAGGAAATAAATGAGATAGAAATAAGTTTTGTTGATGAAAGTCGCGTGATATTTTCCTAGAAAAATTTTAAGTCACGCCACTGTATGTTGTTTAAGAATGCGTATTTCGATGAGGCGATAACATTAACGAATTGAGCGCACGGAATACTGTATCAGAATCGAAAAAAATTAACTTTTCACTCAATTTTCGCCTGTATTGGACCGTCTACATGTGAAGTTTTTATGAAAACGTCGAAGCGCCACTAGAGTTTTAGCTTGGTTTATATGGCAATATTTACACATTGTTGCCTGCTCTTTGTTTGTAGACAAAATCCATGTTTCGCTTATGAAGACATCTTTTTGTCGCAACTATTCAAATGCACAATTTCATTGTATTATTGTTTGTTGGAAATAACTAATCGATTTTATTTTCCCTAAGGATATGGTTCACAAAGGATGACTTCTGTTTGTACATGTTATTTGAGTATATTGTTGGCGGTGAACTTTTTACATACCTAAGGTATGATATTTAAAATTTTTTATATTTTTTAATATATGTAATAAGAGGAAGATAGGAATAATAATCTCAAAGTGCTAAAATTTATCACCATGTGTGCTTATACTTATATGGTAGTTATGTTCAGGGTTACAACATTTCCAAAGCTTACGTGGAATGAGATGTTCCTTAAGTTGATTAACAAAGCAACAAAAAATATTATGAAAAAACTCGAAATATTTATTGAATAATGCACGATAAAATGGCGAAATATTTTTTGAAAAAATCGAAAAATTTAAAAAGTTCGATTTTCTGGCAACAGTTTTAGATAAATTAAAATTTGTAAAATATTTATTTTTGATGAAAAAAAAAACCGTTGGGAGCTAGCTTTGTATGCATCCAATATCATTTTTCGTTGACGTTTGCAACAAGACGCCCTGTGGAACTAGTGGCGATGAACGAATGATTTACATACGCTCACAACAATGAACTTCACAGAGTGGCATAAAAATGCATAGATGGTGTATGGGTCGGATTTTCAATGAAAAATCGTCGATTTGAGCACCCACCGAAATCAACTGAGAATATGTACGAAAAAATGCCAAAAACCTTGAAATATTTTCGAACAACTCCAAATATTTTCGAACAACTCCAAATATTCACCATTTTAATTCACCACCAAAAGTGCCAAAATATTTTAATAAATATTTCTTATTTAAATGAATATGTTTTGTTGCAAATGAACTCCTGAGAATATTCGTTGGACTTTATTACGTTTTTAAGCCGTGATTACAACAATACTTGTCCCATTTCTTCGTACAACTTTTTTCAACTTGAACGGGGGTGGAAGCAACCAGGAGTAGGCTTGCTGACTCGAGCAGGCAGTTGCCTTGCTTGCTGCTCACTTGGAATCGACTCGAGACTAATAAGTGAGGCGAGCAACCGAGTCGACTTCTACTCGAAACTTGCTTGCGTGCTCGCCTATTTTACTTAGTTGCGAGTCGACTCCAAGTGAGCAGCAAGCAAGGCCTATTCAAGTAAGCAAGTCGACTCGAGAGTAGGTAAGTGAGGCGAGCAACCAACTCTACTCAAAACTTGCTTGCTAAAGACATACAACACGAAGAAGGATTATATATATAATATGCGTCACACAAAATCGAAATAAAAAGATTATCCCTTGTTCAATAAAACCAGTGATATCAAAATACGATTTGACTGGTTGGATTAAAAAAACAAATTGTACTATAACGAAAAATTTGATGGAAAATTATTAGTTTAAATGACAAAATAAAACAACGTAGTCTATGAATATGGACTTTTATACTGATCTAAGATCAGTGATCTTTTATCGTAACATAAAGCAATAATTTATTTTAGCAAGTTTCGAGTTTCTGAGAGAGTAAGCAAGCAAGTACTTCAACAGCGAGAAAATTTTAGTAGCAAGTAGTGGATTAGACGAGTAAGTTAGCATCTCGTGAAGCTCGTAAAGTAAGTAAGCAAAATTCAGCTTGCTCAGAGTTCGAAAAGTAAGTAAGTAAAATTCAACTTGCACGGTCCCAGATTTGACGAAAATTGTAATAGCATGCTACTTGCTGCTCGAAAAATGAACTGCTGCTGCTTACTCGAGCAGGTTGTTTTGCTTACTTGCTTTCAACCCCTAAAAATTCCAAGTTCCACATTTAACTACGCATCGAACAAGTCCAACGAATATTCCCAGCCGTTCAAATATTCATGAACTAACATATAATCACAAAGTTCTATCTTAATTGAAAAATACCCAGAATAACGTCTGAAAGTAGGCAAAATTTCCGCTTTTTGTGGGTTATATCCCAGCAAAAACTCGCCCAATGTCCGTTTCCATTTTCATTTTGAGCTAGTATAATCCAGAAATTTAACTTATCTTCAATGTTCAAGATCCAAAGTTATCTTTGCTTGTTATATTTCATAATTTTACGGACTAAACTCAGTGTTAGACCTCTTTTTCAGTGAGGAGGCCAAAGTGTGACATCTGTGGTCAACCTTTGGCCAGAAAAGAAATCTTCTATGCGTAGAATTATTATTCTATTCGAACCATGTCTGTGTGCCATTTAAAGTAGCTGCTCTCCGATTTCGCTTATATTCGGTATATAGACTTGGTATGACCAACAACTCTCATCTCAAATTCCGCAGGAAATGTTTTTTTCATTTCAGTATAATAATAGGTGGTCTGATGATGGTGTGTTCATATAAAATTCTAAGCAGACTCCAAATATAGTACCAGAACATTGGTTGGGGTCAACCTCCTCGCAAGAGGGGCAGGGGAGGCTCCAAAGAGAAAATAGATTTTTTTAAATCAAAAATCACTATTTTAGGGCAAAAACAGGGCAATAGTAATTCTTTTTATCCCCAAACAAAATTAAGAACTATTTCGGCGTAGCATTACAACAACTATACGTTGTTATACCAAAATCAAAAGGAAATTCAAAAATTACGAACTTGGTTGAATTCACTATTCACTTCGTGCACACTGGTTAACATAGAGCTAGGAACTAAAACAGACGTAATATATCTCGATCTCGCTGAAGTTTTAAATTCAGTTGACGCGAACCTGCTTGTGCATAAGCTGAGAATTATGGGACTGAATGAACAGCTGTTGAGATGGATTCTTTTTCCAAAAGTGTGGTTGGATTATTTTGAACCGTGGACAATCGGCTTCCATTAGACATTTTCATGTTTGGTCATTTGCTCATTCAGAAGAGTTTTCTTTTAGCTGCAACATGAACAGAACAATCGAAAAAATATATCAAAGAAGCAATATGCGAAAGAACTTAACATGGAAAATTAGATTCTTAAAAACGCAACATGAATTTGCGTCACACTGAAGCGCGTCATAAGAATGTTGTAGAAACCATAGCTCATGTTACATTCATGTCGACTGGAGATTCATGTTGCGTTTTTAAGAAACACTTTTTTCATGTTTGGTTCTTGCTATAACAGATTTGTATTCCTATTTTTATGCTCAGCGATGCATATGCTTTGGAAGAAAATTTAATAATCCATAAAGGGACTTTTTTGTACATGCATTTACCGAATATTGAGTATAGATCACAAGTATGGAACCCGTATACCAATGAGAACCGAGGGGCAAATCACTCTAAATTACTTTCCCGATTACTTTCTCTATTACAAATTACTTTAGAGTGATTTGCCCCTCGATGAGAACATTCCTAGAATTGAGTCAAAACAATTTCTACTGTTTGCACTACGAAACACTGGTTCGTGGGGAAAAAGGTATTTTATCCTGTTAACCCCCCTGAGTTTTGATGAAAAATAATTTTTTCGGTCCTCGCCACCACAGACTACTGAGAATCTATCACAGGGTATTTGTATAAATCTGTGATAAAGTTACTACAGCTTGTTTGAAAGTTGCCACAACGAAAAGATTATTTTTACATTTTGTGTGCGGGTAACTTTGACACAAACTGTGGTAACTCTATCACTCACCAAAATATGTAGTGAAATTACACAATTTCCTTTCTGTGTGAATGGCATTATTTTAATCTTCGAAGTTTGCTGATCATTTCATCTGAATACATCATCTTCGTCATACCACCTATTTTGTGTGAAAAAAAAAAAACATTATATAGCCCGCAAATGGTAATAGATGAATTCGCCGAATTTTTCCCTGAATCAGGGACAAAGCCAGGAAAAACGGCCACTTAAATCCACAAACCGGCACAATAATTTTTCACCGAGAAAACGTTAAAGTAACTTAGCTGTTACTCTGCTCAATTACTACTTTTTCGTATAATCACACCAAAATACAGTGCTGTATTCGAAGTTCGATAAAATTCTAAATTATATTTCCATCCGCACGAATATATAATATTTTTATTAGATATTTTTAGGACATTCCCAATTGTGAATGCATTTTTTTAATCCATTGGAATTGTTAATATCAAAAACTTTAACATCAATCAATTTTATTTATCCGATCGTATTAATATTTATTCAATATTTTTCTTATAAGAAATGCGGGCAAATTCAGTAACTCTACAGGTAAGTGAATTTTTCACCAAATTTCCTTATTCATTTTTTTCAGTTTTTGAATATATCACGGAGGAAGGTAGTCCGACAAGTGACGCTCTGTGCATTTCAAGTCAAATGTCAAAAATGTCAGTTTTGGCTTGAGGTTTGGTGTTACGACTATATATACAGTAGGTATGCTATTTTTATCTCAGGACACTATTTGACCCCCGGCATGTTATGTACCGTTGTGAAAATCTTGGCCCAAATAGTCAAAAACACCATATCTTCCATGCCTTAAGTATGATCCTGTCAAAAATATGGTGGTTGCCAAATTTCGATAAATTTTTAGATCTATCCCCAGAGGGTGGTCTGTGGTGTCTTAAAGAAGCTCCTTTTCGCCAGCTTTCCAACGCCAGTCTAAGTGTCCCGATCGGCTTACAAACAAAAAATTTATGGGCATCGGCAGTTTGACCTTGGTTTTCTATGAGAGTATCGATTTGGATGTGCGTTTGTACGTCTGTCCGTTGTTTTTTTCGACCCCCACAGATCCCAGTAACCATATTCCTAAGTCAGTGACTGAAATAAAAAAAATTCAGAGCTACCGGCTACAAAAAATAAAATACCAGCGCCATAATGTAAGGGGAAGTTAAGCACCAACCTTCTTTTGAAAAATTTGTTGCTGTCTTATGTTTTCTTTGAAGAACAATTTCTTCATTGGAATTAAATGAAACTACACTTCCCTGCATTTAGTGATTTAAATTACGAAACAGCTACATCTCAGAGTGGAGCTATCAAATACCGTATTTGATTCAAATAGTCTCTACTTGCATAAAATAGCCGAATAAATTGAAAAAAAAAATTGGACAAAAATTGCGATTTTTGGCGATTAATTGTAACCACCACAAAGTCGCAATTGAATAGTTTGAAAGTGGTTTTATTTTCAAGTTCCAAGAGCGAGTGGAGAAAAATCCAAGAATTCTACCGAAATTTTTTATTTTTTGATAGATCTAAGCTCTTCACACAGAACAATTTCATTGGCCTCCAGATGATAGAAGTAACCAAGCAGAGCTGGAAAAAACACTCTGTGTGTGCTCGCACGTAGCTAAGAACGCACTCACAGTAGATGTACACAGCTCTTGTATTTTTGGTGTGCGTGCACATTTATACAGGGTGTAACAGAATTGCGTGCCAATATTTTAAAATTTTATTGCTGGGGCCAAGACCTATCGAAAATGTAGGAAGCACTTTTCTGAATTCGGCCTCTATGCCAAAGTTTTGGCCATCGGCGAGTTTTTGGCCGAAAATTCGTACTATGGCAAGGTGGTCATATCTTAGGCTATTGCGTGCGTATTTTTGATCACAACTACATGAATATTGGCTTATTTGAAAGGCATTGAGGTCCTCTTAGTGACACCACATGAATTTTGTACAAAAATATCATTTGGCTTGGCCAAAAATGGCGCCGGCCAGAATGTTCTGAAAAATCAGAAAAGTTGAAGAAAATAGTAATTTTTCTCGAAAAAATACGTTATTAACATATCATTTTCTAATCGAAAATGGAATGAGCATACAATTTGAGGGTGGTATGCAAAAATCTGTATCTCAAATTTGTTTCTATCGGCCGCAATGCATCATCGAATTCAGTCCTCGTTGGTCTGTTTTTGACCAAATATGGCATATTGAATATTTAACATATTTTCGGCGTATTTTTTTGTTTCAGTTACATAAATTGTGATTTTTCTCGAAAGATATTGAGGCCCTTTTTAAGTATCAGTAGAAGAAGTATTGAAATATCGACACAAAAACGGCCAAAAATGGCCAGAAATGGCCGAAAACGGCGCCGACTCCAAACCGCTAAAAAACCACAAAAATCAACAAAAATCCATGTTTCGACGCAAAATATCATCACTTATGTGTCTCTATTGATCACCAATGGAAGAAATAGTAAAACAGTCCGATACTTTTGCAAGAATTGTGTACGCTAAAGTTCTAGCTAGTAAACTGAACTATCGATATTTCAATACTTCTTGTTGCATTTTCACATTCAGAGCTACCGGATTCCGGTAGAACCACAGGCTATTTCAATCACTGGCCTAATTTATAGCTGATGTCGGGGCGCGTTGAAATCCGTCTTAAAACTGGGATTTGCATTAAGGTACCATTTCTTAGGCGGCCGATTCTGTTCGCCGATTCAAGAGGGCATTCGGATTGCTTTAACTCTTAAGCCACTGAACGGATTTTAACAAATTTTATATATTTTGAAAGATGTGAACTTCATCTTTCTAAAATTACAAAATTTTTAAAAATCCATCATGTGGTTCAACAAATATATCAAACATGCTTAAATCGACGGAAAATCGGCGGCCGATCTTGGTATTTTCAGAAAGACATTTTCAAATATTTCAAAATACAGAAAATACGCAAATTAGAAACCCGAAAATTAGAAAACCTCAGAAATTAGAAATGAATTTCAGGTTTGAAAATTTGTATGGAAAATTTCTAATTTCCGGGTTCATTTCTAATTTACGGGGTTTCCGAATCATTTCATTCAAGACAAAGGGAAATTTACTTCATTTTTAATAAAAAAAAACACAATGAAAGTTTTTTCCATTTACATGAATAACTATATTAGAAGATCAGCTTGAGATTTTCGACGTTTACCATGAAGTTAAAAATTAAGTCACGAAGTAATCTGTTCCATAATGTCTGCGTCAATCATCAATCTTCAATCATTAACAAATCGAAACCGATTTGTTCCATCAGAGAATTTGCATATACAAAATTGTATACAGAATGCTAACGTTTTCTGTTTACTATCGTATGATATAATAAGAACAGCCGGTCATCATTTATTTCGGTTTGTTCCAAGGAGTAGTTTATCTAGTAAAATAAACTAACAGACTTACTATATCAGATGAAAAACCTCTAGACGAGGTTAAAATGGAGTGACGCTCCTATACGTGGATTTACCACTCAAAATGACTGATATCATTTTGATTGACGCTTTAACGCTGTATTATCTCTGGGTACGAAGCTCAAAAGTGTTTTTCGCATTCACTATTGTAAAAATTTATTCACAATAAGGAAAAATATCGCGTCACGACTTTTGAATTTAGTCTCCAAGTCAAACTTTCAAGCGTTTTGCCGTCCAAAAGTCGTGACGCGATATTTTTCCTTACTGTGAATAAATTTTTACAATAGTAAATGCGAAACTGAACTTCGTTTCCAGAGGTAATACAGCGTCAAAGCGTCACTCAAAATGATATGATTCCTTTTTAGTGGTAAATCCACGCACAGGAGCGTCACTCCATTTCAACCTCGTGCAGAGGTTTTTCATCTGATATCACTAATTTTGTAAGGCAATTATTCTCGGAAAAAATACACTTTTGCCAGAAATATGTCTATTTTAAGGTCTTATCATTGGGAAATTGTAATTTTTCGGGTAAAACATTTGCATCCACAATTCACAAGTTTTGTAAATAGCAAATTTCCACTTTCATTAAAAAAAAGTCCCATTTTCCCTTTATTGGACATTGTAAAATGTGATTAAATTTCAAAATATCCATTAAAAGAGTTTTGAAGTAATTATAGACCCATTACTTTATTGAAACATATTAATTTCCAACCACCATAGCTCTGGAAAGTGCATTTTTTATGTATCCCCCAAACAAAAGTTCAATTTCATACATTCAGACGCCAAAATGCCGATTTATGACCAAAATGACAACGAAATGGATATTCAAGTGTTCGTGGACTCCCAATATTTTCACGAAAAAACAGCAATTTTCTAAGACCAAAATGTCGTCAGAGGTCTATTTCACTTGTTTTCCGAACAAAAACCTCATTTTCAGTGAAAATAGAGCAAGTTGAAAAATTCACTTCAATCCGACCAATTTTTCGACCATGAAATGCCCTCAGATCGCATCTTGACCACTTTTAGTCGATTTCTCGTTAAAAATTGAGCAGATATGGTCTTTCGTGAGCCTTTTTCAGCCTGTAGATGCGTATTTTTGGCAGCAATTTCATTGTAGAATGCGACTCTACGTACAAATTCCGTTCATTGATGAATTACCTATGCTCAGAACTTCGAAATACGAATTTTCTCGGACATATGGCATATGCCATTTTGTTGATATGCTGGCCTACAAACGCTCAGTTTTTGGTAAAAGATTGTAGGGCTGATTTTTGAGAAATCGCGTTTGGTGTGAAATTTAAGGGGGTCGATTTTTCATAATTCTTTTATATCACATAAACATTGGCATGTGTGTATGGAACTTTTTGAAGGTCTTCTCAAATAATTACGAGCTGACTTTGCCCCATGGGTGTCTGAGTTGATCTAGTGTGCGAAATAAATACTTGAAAAAATCGTATACATGCAGGCTAGTGAAGCCATAGCCAACTCTCGTGTAATGCAAATGTCAATCTGAGGACGGGTTTCGATGAGGCCCGACACTAGCTTCAACTAAGGCATATGCGCATCGGAAACCGAAGAAGGTACGGACAGACGGACGGACGGACGCACATCCAAATCAATACTTTCATAGAAAATCAACATCAAACTGCCAATACCCATAACTTTTTCGTTTTTGGACCAATCGGGGCACTTAGACCGGCGTTGGAAAGGTGGCGAGGAGGAGCTTCTCTTGGACACCTCAGACCACCCCCTGGGTACCCCCTTCGTAAGATATGGGTATAGATTTGAAAATTTATCGAAATTTTCCAACCGCTATATTTTTGCCTAGACCACACTTTAGACATGGGGGATATGGTGTTTCCGACTATTTGGGCCAAGACCTTTCCAACAGTACCTAACATTCCGGGGCCCAAATAGTGTCCTGAGAAAATAGCATACTTACTGTATATATACTCGTGACGCAAAAACTGGCATTTTTGATATTTGGCTTGAAATGCACAGTATATGGAGCGTCACTTGTCGGACTATCGTCCTCCGTGATATTTATAATCTCTAAAATAACTGCTTATAAGCATTTATTTACATACAATACTTGATTGAACAGTGTTCAATATATCGTTTTCAATTAAGCAAATCATTCCCCCTATCAGTTTTTCATTTGATACACCGTTTTTGGATGAAATTGAAAAATCCTCAGAAATTAGAAATGGTCTCGGGACATTTTATTTCTAATTTGCGGGGGTGCACTGTATATAAAATTTGTTAAAATCAGTTCAGTGACTTAAAACTTATAGCGAAAATTCCGAATGCCCTCTTGAATCGGCGAACAAAATCGGCCGCCTAGGAAATGGTACCTTTACAGGAGAATTTGCTATAGCTTCGTAAACCTGCATATATACGATTTTTTGAAGTATTTATTTCGCACATTAAATCAGACGCCCTTCGGGTAAGGTCAGCTCGTAATCATTTGAGGAGAACTTCAAAAAGTTTCATAAACAGTGTGTCTTTTCATTTGAATTGGAATTTGAATTTTATTTTCGATTTAATTTTTATTCGTGCAATTTAGTCCGGTTTGCCCGGGCTCGGGCATTCCAGAGCCCGGGAAACCCAAACACTTCCGACAAACCCGCCGGGATTCCGAATTCCAAAGCCCGGGAAAGTCCCGAGAAATCGAAAAATCCCGAGCGCCCGGGAAGGTTAGTCCGAATCCCGCCCGAGCCCGAAAAGTTCGGGCTTCGGGACGGGCGCTCGTTGCGACCTCTGCTATAAATCATGAGCCGTCCACGATAAAGCAATACATTCTTCAAAAAAGAGCTATGCAGCGCGCAGTACTAAATGGTACTAAAGACTACAAAAGTGTACTAAAATGTACTCAAACTGTCCAAACGGTTTTTATCGGTTCTCAACTATTCTATGTAGGTGACATTATGCAGCAAGAAATGCCAGAAATCATCCCACCGATATTGGCTACATTTGAATGGCATGAAAACATGTGAATGTGTGTATTACACACATGCCAACATTTATGTGATGTAAGAGAAAAAAGTTGCTTCTTATGAAAAATCGACCCCTTTAAATTTCACGCCAAACGCGATTCCATATGCCATGGCAGGGACTTTTTTGCCAGAGAGCGAACGGGGCCGAAGGCGCTCGAGCGGTTATTATAGTTGAAAAAATTGGAAGAAAATCGGGCACTTCGGCGCTCTTTTTTTATTGGAATCATAAATAGCTAAAAAAAACAATCCGAAAAATATATATTGTATGAGATGAGTATTGAAAAATAGTATCCAAAAATAAAAAACAACTAAAATTTTCGACAACTCATCAATGAACGGAATTTGTACAAAGAGTCCCATTCTACGATGAAAATGCTACCAAAAATACGCATCTACTGGCTGAAAAAGGCTCACGAAAGACCATATCCGCCAGACGTGTGCGAGGTCAAAAATCCTAGAGGAGGGTAAAAAAATTTGACACCTGGGGGTCTGAAAATTTAGTCAATGAGTGTCTAAAAAAAGTGAAGACCTTAAAGAAAAATGTCCTCTTTTGAAAATCGATTCTATCTAGTGTCAACTAGTCAAAATCGCTCGAATCCTAGATGGGGGTTAAAACCGGAAACACCCCCCATGCACCAGACGTGTGCAAGGCCAAAAATCCTAGAAGGGGGTAAATTTTTTTTCAGATGGGGTTATTCAGATTTTTTATTATTCAGATCTGTTCATTTGATACGAATTGTATGCAATGAAATTCATTAAAGCTCCGAATGGCATGGGATTCGAGGCGAATTGAATCACTTGAAATTTATCGTTTTAAAATACAAACTGGAGACACAGAGTGACAGAAACACACAAAGTTAAATTCGCCAAAATCATTTTAAATCAACCGATTTATAGAGAAAAAGACAAAATGAACGTGATTGCCTACGCATTACTTATCCAAGAGATAAAAGTTTCAAAATTGGAAATTCAATTTTCAAAAAAAAAATCTACGCTCGCCGTTTCGGCTAGTCAAATATAAAACTGAATGTTCGTCTGTGTATGTGTGTGTCGCGAGTGTTTACCCCTTTTTTCAATTCATGGCTTTATTGTTATCAGACGTGTGCAAGGTCAAAAATCCTAGAAGGGGGTATTTTTTTTTGGCAGATGGAGGTCTAAAAATTTTGTCAATTGGGTGTCGAAAAAAAAAGTGAAGCCCTAAAAAAAAGGTCCTCACTGTTGAAAATCGATTCTATCTAGTGTAAAACAGACAAAATTCCACAATGGGGGTCTGGAAATTAATAAATCGTGTCGAAAAAAGACTGAAGACCTATAAAAAAGGTCTTCACTTTTGAAAATCAATTCTATATAGTGTAAAAAATTTCTAAATCGCTCGATGGGGGTCTTGAGTTTCAAATCCTAGATGGAGGGTAAAACCGGTTCTATGGTTGATTTGGTGTTGACAGATGTGACAGTTCGCAATGTGCCGATCACTTAGTGTGTTGAAATACATACATGATAATGTAAATATTCTTGTTTGCGAAAATATTTTAAAACAATTATATTGAAAAACATAAAAGAAAAACAATCCAAAATCAATAGAATAAATCGAAATCACATCGAATTTGGAAACAATTGCGTGGAACCCAAACGGTTTTCGCGCGTTCAAATTTTGACATTTAATAAAGTTTCGTCATAAGTTTGTGAATATATGTTTCAATTTGGAGATTACAATATATGGATAGTTCAGTTTCCTAATATGAGATTTCGTGTATTTTTGAGATTAAAATAAAAATTGAACTATTGAATGAATTTTTTATTAATCAACCGATACATCAAATAAAAGCCAAATAAATTCTCTTTCGAATAGATATAAACATGTTGGGAATTTATGAAGTAATTTTGTAGAAATGGACATGCAAATCGGAAAATTGATAGTTTATGTTACAAATCGGAGTGTTTACGATATAAGCACCGTACATGTGATCAAATTTTTATTTCAAACATAGTAGGTACGCATTTTGATTAAATTGGTATTATTTATCCGATGAACAAAAATCGAAATGGCACACAAAAAGTCATTAATTGAAAATAATAACAATAAAAACTCAAATGAGAAGACGTTCATAAGGAAAAAAAACGTGATCTTTCAAATGACAACTTTTGGTGCTACAAATGTGATAAAGTATGCAGGTTTCATACCAACTTTCAAAGTTCAAGGGCAGGTTTATCAAAAAATTCCCTTCTGCTACCACCTAATGAAAGTTCAAAATTTTTACAAATTTATTTCATCGGTGATAAAGAATTAGAAATAGATCATCGTTGTGCTGCAATGAGCGGTATTGAAAGAGAAATAATATCAGGGCTACAAAAGATGTTTGACGAACATAATGAGTTGGTTAACCCATTTTCTACCAGCATCCTATTTATAGGACGCGAAAATTGCCGATTTTTTTTATTACTTATTTTAGATTTTCTTCTATCCTGATCAAATGGCTTGGAATTTTCAAATGCCGTTTTGCATGTGTGTTGGAAAAGGTTTGAAAAGGGTTTTCCCAGGTTTTCACGGTTTTCCAGAAAATGCCGGAAAATGGTTAAAATTTAAAACGTGTCGGAAAATTCTTGGGAAAATCATATTTGGGCTCTCAGAAGTATCTCACCTAAATTTCATCAAAAAATTCGAAAAAAAAAAAATTCTTGGTAGAAAATGGGTTAAATTGTTTAAGACATCTTTAGATTTAATGCCTTCTGATAACTACTTAGTGATCATTAAACCTGATAAGGTTTAACCTAAGGTGCCTTCGGGTGAACATGATTGAAGATTCAATGCTCCAAACAAAATTGTGACAAGTTTATTTTAATAGCCAACTAAATGATTAACAGAATCATTATTTGCAAACAAATTCGCTACACGGTTCGAAATCTACGCACACATCTATACGATTTTCAGTAGAGTGGAGCGAGCTATACGATTTTACCTATAGTCAGAGATTACTATGAGATATTTATATTCATATGGGATAGAAATATCGCATAAAAATATCAGATATTTTTCATGCGTTGCGTTGTTGTAACGCTTCTGCAGTACACAATTCATATTCCTCTTTGGGATCCAAGTCGAATTTCATGCAAATCTGATATTTTTATGCGATATTTCTATCCCATATGAATAAAAATATCCCATAGTGATCTCTGCCTATAGTCTGACGTTTAGAAGCGGTTTTTGCGGAGAAACATACACACACGGAAGAAAGGTTTAGATATTCGCTACGCCCAATTTTTTTTCCTTGAAAAAAAACCAAAATTTGAGATTTCTCAGACAAAATTTATTTTTCGAACCTCCATAATGTCTGTAACATGGAGGCGCCGAAATAAATTTTGTCTGAGAAAACTCAAATTTTGGTTTTTTTCAAGGAAAAAAAATTGGGCGTAGCGAATATCTAAACCTTTCTTCCGTGTGTGTACATGTACATTCTGTAGCGTTGACAGATGCGTAGTTAACTGATACAAGCGCGGAATATATGTTTCTCTGCAAAAACCGCTTCTAAACGTCAGACTATACGTAAAATCGTATAGACCGCTCCACTCTACTGAAAATCGTATAGATGTGTGCGTAGATTTCGAACCGTGTAGTGTATAATAAATCCATAATAAATGATAATCTATGTTGAAGCAAACGAAAATGAATTTTTATTATCTTTACAGCAAATTTTTATGCAAGTGAAATTATTCTGGCATTGGAATACTTACACACACTATCCATAGTTTATCGTGATTTGAAACCAGAAAATTTATTGATTGATCGTGAGGGACACTTGAAAATCACTGATTTCGGTTTTGCAAAGAAATTGAAAGATAGAACATGGACTTTGTGCGGTACACCCGAATACCTTGGTAAGTGAAGAAAAAGAACAGAGCATGGCAATAGTGGCAGCTCGACAATAGTGCAAAAAATCATACAACAGCTCAACCTGGCATTAAAATTTGTTCAATCTTTAGTTGTATTTGCATCCGCTGTTGTGGCGTTGTTGTCAGTGCTACCCGTCATTACCATCAAGCGGAATTCTTTATTCAAAATATCCACAATTTTCACAAATATCGTATTCAGTCTCCGAATATATTTTGAATATTCACAGAAGAGTTCCTGTGACACACAATTCACAACTTTTTGGAAATGAATGATTCCCCTTGATTATAATGACTTAATAATTTAAAATAACTTATTCATAGTAAATCGATAAAATAACAACTATTATTTTGTACAGCACCTGAAATAATCCAATCAAAGGGACATAATAAGGCAGTCGATTGGTGGGGATTGGGTAAGATTGAACAGCAATTGGTTTTAACTGAGATCTTCCTGCTTAGCATTAAAGTACTCACGTCCCATGGCAGAACCTTCACTGCGTTCTGCGAGATTGACAAAATAATTTCACCCATACATGAATGGTTTGGAGCGAAAATGTAATACAGAAAAGTTGAGCGGAAAAATGTCAAATGAAAAGGGATAGCTATATTGTTCACTATAGTTTACTATACAGTTTACTATATAGCTATCCCTTTTCCGCTCATTCATCATCGACATTTTTCCGCTCAACTTTTCTGTATTACATTTTCACTCCAAACCATTCATATAAAACATGCTGTGATTGAAAAAAGGGCCCAATACAAGAAACTTTTGGTCCACGGCTATGGCTTCAGAGGTCATCCTGGTGGTCGAATTCGTTATTTATAACTTTGCGACGTTTAAGATAGTGTGGAATGAGTTGAAATTAGATTTTAAGGACTTTTAGATGTTCCACACTATCTTGAGCGTCGGAAAGTGATAAATGTCGAACTTACATTGTAAATCCATTCATATCGCGTTTTTTAAACCATTTTCAACCATTAAAAATTTTGCCCGTTTTTTTCTGTTTTGTAACATTTCATTTAGTTTTGGGTGGATATTCTTCGACATCGTTTTGTAACACAATATATCTGCGTTGAATGTGTACAGGTGGGCTAAAGGTGTCGAACGGACGGACTGCCCGTCTTTTTAGCCCGTCCGTCCGTCCGTCCAGGGCTCTTGAAATTTTTTTTTGTCCGTCCGTCCATCCGTTCAGAGCCGCTAGAAATTTTCTTGTCCGTCCGATCAACGCTGAACGGACGGACGTACGGACAAGAAAATTCACGAGGGTCCTAAACGGATCGACGGACGGACAACAAAATTTCTGAGGTTCCCGAACGGACGGACGGACGGACAAGGTGCTTGTCCGTTGACACCTTTAAGGTGGGTGGAGTAAGAGAGTATAATTTCATACTCCTACTCCTACTCCCATACAAACGGAAAATGAGTAAGTCTCGACCTACTCATTTTTCCCCAAAGAGTAACTCTACACCTACTCTTTTTCCTACCCATTTGAGTATGTCTCGACATACTCATTTTAAATTTTTTTTCTCCTCAAAAAAAGTTATATATCCTTTATATATTTTTCTGAGGGAGGGAAAACGAGTGAGTAAGTGTAGAGTTACTCTTTCGCAAAAAAATGAGTAGGTCAAGACATACTCAAAATCGAAGAGTAATTAGTCTGAGTATATACTCTCTTACTCAAAGAGTAACTAATGAGTATTAGAGTAGGTCGAGACTTACTCATTTCAAAAATGAATGAGTAAGAGAGTATATACTCGATTTCGCCCACCTGTATGAATGTGTAAGTAAATGTTGTGTGTGAGAGCAAAGTGGTCGGTAATCTAGAAAGTTTCTTCGAAAGCGGACAAGCTTATTGAGTACTTTGATGCCACGCAAACGAATCAGACTAAAAAAGTGAGATTTGTAAGCATTATAAACATTTTATTTTCTAGGCGTTCTAATTTACGAAATGTTGGTGGGATACCCACCTTTTTTTGCCGACAACCCATTTGGTATATATGAAAAAATTTTAACCGGTAAATATGAGTGGCCGCGGCTTGTGGACCCTGTTGCAAAAGATTTAGTAAAAAAGCTGCTTGTTCCTGATCGTACAAAACGATTGGGTAATATGAAAAATGGCCCTGACGACATAAAGAAACACCGATGGTTTAAACACTTAAATTGGGATCATGTGTACAATCGACAAGTTACGGTACGAAAACTTTTAAATTCATATCATATGTATTTCAATGAGCATGAAGGTGGAATTGAAGATATGATTTAAAAAGAACCAAATATGAAAATTTATTATTGAACAACATATGTACGTTTCGATGGATTTTGTGCCTTTCTCGTAACTTAAAAAGAATAATCCGGACTATGAACTCCAATTGAGATCAGGGCGTAGTGATCTGTAGACAATTGATTCATATTTTTTCATCAGTTGTACCCCGAAAAACGCGAAATACAGCTTTTATTGGCATTTATTCGATGCAAAAGTGCGCCACCTGGGGACTGATTGCAATGTGTCATACTTCTACGTTTCCAACCAACACAGCCACGCACTTGTTGAAGTTCATTATGTGCATGATCCTCTAATTCTGTAACCAGTGTCCCGGTTGCGTTTTTCCGTCGCACTCTTCCTATATGTTTATAGAGAGGCTGACGAAATGAAAACTGACAATGCATTTGTTCTGAACATTTTGGATATAAACTTTGGTACATTTTTAATTTCTTACAATTTCTTACTTTGCTGTATATACTTGTATTTATTATATAATATTTCTGTGGGATATGAAGTGGTGTATGTTTCCAAACGTGTGTTGTGACGACCATGCTATGCTTCCTCTGGATTATTCATAAATATCCGTTTAGTCAGACATCGACACAGTCTCCAACAAATGGATAATTATATCCGTTTAGTGTAAATTCAGCTCCTGACCGTGTGTTCCATGCATGACACTTGTTCTTTTCTTTCTTTCGTCATCTTCATCGCTTTTCAAGATAATATATGTGACGCTGTGAAGCAATTATAGCCATGTTTTACGTTGGTGCTCATAATAATTGAGAACAAAAGCTATTTTGCAGGAAATATTTCTTGACGTCGTTCAACATAGATTGCTTTAATTAAATAGCTTAGAGCGAAAATGTCATACAGAAATGTTGCGCGGAAAAATGTCACAAATAGAGAAATTATCAAATATAGAAGCTATTTTTTGTCAAATGGGGAATATTTGGTATCAAATAGAAGGGCTATTTGGTGTCAAAGCTAGCATAGCTGTTCAACATTATTCCTTATCGATCCGAAAATACTGTTACTTCCAACTGATTTTAAGTTAATTAATTTTTCATTTAATTGTTCGATATAGCCACCAATCATACCTAAAATTAAAGCAGATGGAGACACAAGTAACTTTGACGATTACCCAGATGAAAATCCGAAAGCGAGGCCCATACCAAAAAAGGATATGATGTTATTTGACGATTTTTAGGATGTTAAAATTTTCTTCAGAAACACCCTCTGAAATGATCGAAAATGCGTTTTCTTTGGAAATTAATTTTTTTTTTGAAACATTCATATCTGAAGGGGTTTTCACTACAAAATTGTATGCAAGATTTAATATAAAAATACATTATTTTGAATCATTTTTCTCTTTCTTCTAAAATGCCGTTTGCTTCCTGCCGTTTGCTTCCTACCCAACAATGAATAATCCAAATATATCCAATTCCAGGCACATGTCCCAGGTTGAATACGGGGATAGATTTAACCGTAGAAGTAACCATAGAAGTAACCGTCATAGTGGTCCAATTGTGCATGGAATAAATGGATAAAAATAGCATAAAATCAGCATCAATACATTCAATAAATTCAATACTCTTATTTCAATTGAAGAACAAATCATTTACTAACATACATGGATACTTCTGGCCTCTTAGTTAAGTATGTACGCCTACTATACCACAAAAATCGGGCATAGCGGAAATAACATTACTGTTATATTTTAATTTTTAAATTATTCAATATGAATGGCGTGAACGACGATGCATGATGCTTGTTAGTTGTTGACAGCAGCTTACTGGTTGGGTGGTCTCTGCAATGTTTCGGGTAACGGGAACCCAAACAAGTCACAGTGTCCTTGAAAATCATACAAGAAAATAATGAATGATCTATAAATAAAGAACTGCACCTCAATGCAATGCAATGCAATCAATTTATATCGGGAATTGCCCGATATACATAAAATAGGACAAGATTTGTAATGTCGCGTCGCCGAATTGGCTAAAAATTGGCTTGGAGTTATGTTTCGGTGAGAAAATGAGAAAACTTAGTAAGTAAGGCCTACAGATCGGCGGACTATCTGATTAAGATTAATTAATCTTATTCAAACACCCAAAATTCGCGATGATTAATACGACCACTTAATCACTTAATCGCTATTAATCATGATTAAGTGATTGTGCAATTGATTAATTAATCATCGATGATGATTAAGTTGTTGTCTTTATCACGATGTCGCCGTGATTAACTGTGACAACTTAATCATGATTGAGTAAATTCTTAATCATGATTAAGATGTGATTAACGAAATGATTGTGTAGAATTAATTAATCATGATTAAGTAAATTTACTTAATCATGATTGTATAAATAGTTAATCAAGATTAAGATGTGATTAACGAAATGATTGTGTAGATTTAATTCACCATTAGACGTCATAAATGCAGAAATGTTGAAAATGATTCCGAATTGAAAGTAAACGTTGAAAGAATGGAAAATGTAAATCATTTTCAATATTTCTGCATTTATGGCGTCTAATGAATAATTAAATCTACACAATCATTTCGTTAATCACATCTTAATCATGAGTAAGAATTTACTTAATCATGATTAACTATTTACTTAATCATGATTAAGACAACAACTTTATCATCATCGATGATTAATTAATCAATTGCACAATCACTTAATCATGATTAATAGCGATTAAGTGATTAAGTGCCATCTTAATCATCCGAAAAATGATTGTGCAAGTGATTATGTAATCGCAAAACGCCCACCTGTAGTGTAAATTTTGTGAAAAATTGAAAATGTCGAGAAAAAATGGGTTTTCGGCAGCTGAAATCTAACTGAGAAGTAGTTGACACATTGCCAAACCTATGGTACCATTGGAAAGGGGATCAATGTGGCTACAAAAACTGCTGAGTTGAATCTGAGTCGTTGATTTGGATGTGGAACACAATTGCCGACCGCTTGATTTCCGTTGTCCTCTTCCGCTTCTTTGTCGAGCAAAAACAGTTTCAACTTCTGTTCCCTCATCTTTCTTTTGTTGACCTTGCACACAATCATTGATGGGAGCATTGCTTCTTCCAATTGCGGCCGAAAATCATGGCAGACTTTGAAGCGATGTCATCTGGTGCGCCGATCAAAACGACCAAAACACTTGGCGCATGTTTGAGAAGTCTAATACTCGTCGACCATATTAACCGTACAACCTTTTGTAGCTATGTATCAAGGGCGCTTTTTGTAGCTATGTATCATTTTCCGGTTGTGTCAACGCAGTGACATTTGAGTACCTCTGAAATGCATTTATTGTGAATAAATTTTTACAATAGTGAATGCGAAACTGAACTTCGTATCCAGAAGTAATACAGCGTCAAAGCGTCACTCAAAATGATATCATTCTTTTTGAGTGGTAAATCCACGCACAGGAGCGTCACTCCATTTCAACCTCGTCTAGAGGTTTTTCATATAATATTTTCATACAGTTGGTTTACACAAAAATATTATTCGATTTTGACGGAAAAAAGCCACACAACATCCACTGAAACGACGAGTGTCAATGACATGTCGGCTTTGCATGACGATTGACATAGCAGCAATCAACCATATTCAATATTTTATTGATTTTGTGGGAAATCATAGTCAGTACTAGATCCAATTTATAGTATGAGTTTGAATTGAACAATTTTATCATCTCCATTAATCGCTCTTTGAGTGAGAACTTGCATTCTCATACCCACGATTTCAATTGAGAATCGGTGTTTCATTATACGTTGGTCGCTAGTAGAAAGAAAGATTGTTCTGAGCTTAATTTTGGATCGATGGATGGATGAATTAAATAATCAAATGCGATCCCGGTCATTATTTTAAGCATTCGTTGGATAGAAAAAACAGAATGTGTTTCTTGTGAATAGTTTTTATTCAAAAAAAAACATCACACGTTTAATTTTTTTTCGTTATTTATTCAACCTTTTCGGTTGTTTGAAAAATCAGATGAAATTTTTAGTTTGTCAAATAATACTATAATTATTTGGAAGATCAAAATCAAAGAAAATCGTTCTGGCATCGCTATGAAAACGCGGGTTTCTACTTGATAACAATTTTGATGTCAATGTTGATCTCATTTATGTATGTCGAGCTTTTTATCAAAAAAAAAGTTCCCATTAACCACGATATGAGAGCATTTTAGAATTAATTTTGCAATACTATCGTTCTCCTATTAAAAGTCGTCCCATTATCAATATCATTATCTTTTACAAATCTCTTTCACTTGCCACTGTGAAACTCTTTGTTGCAAATATTACAGCTCCACTGTCCCTCAGGTGGCGATGTCAATGGTGGTGACAAGCAGTACATATGATAACCTCTGTCGCAATCGTCGCAGAAGAGCAATTGGTCGTCATTGTCCGATGTGCCGCAGATTGAACAATATTTACATTCGATACATTGCCATCGATAACGCTTCACGGATATGATCATATTTGGTGTAAATTGCAGGCATGATGGGTGACCGGAACGTCCACAATCTGAGCACGAAACCAAATCTTCAGGAACGTTAGTTTTTCGGTTTTCGCGGGCGTCTCCAAGACAAAAGTCACAATAGGGCGATGGTGGTGCTTTATTTCGCGTATCGTTTGGTTTACGAATGATGCGTAAACGTTCTTCTTCTTCATTTTGATTACTGCCGAAAAGATTGCATGTTTAATTGTTGAATGAATGAATAATATACGATAAATCTTTCTAAATATAATACCTTCTTTCGATAGCAGCTGCAATAGGATTTTTTTCTGACATTGTAGTAGTAGTAGTAGTAGAAGGAGTAATAGTAGTGGTAGTAGTTAGAGCAAATTCATGCTGAAGCTGGGGTGAAAGCTGATCAGATGGTAGCATAGTCTGACTGTCTTCGTTTGTATTTAGTGGCGATAGAAAGTTTTTCTTATTTTCAGCTATGTGAGGAATAAATAGATAATAAACTTTAAGTTATCATGGAAGCGGCAACAAGCTAACTAAGCAATTTGAGCAAGACGACAGACATATTCAAAGATTCGCTACTCTTTGCTTTAGTTTTTTTTTTCAAGATATATTTTGAAACTTACAATGCCTTTTATTCGTTGAACGTGGTGTGTCACAATCTCCACCTTTGTTGTTCCGACGTCCTCTTCCGCGCCCTCTCCCACGTCGATTCACTAAATCACCTGGTGGTTTCCTCGAACGTCGCTTCTTCTTGTAATGATTATCATCGTAATCAAAATCTGAATCTCCACGATCTTCAAATGGATCCACAACATCATGCATAACATCATCATCGTAAAACCACTCCTTTGGCTCAGGATGGCTACTGTCTTTGCTTTCTGAATCACCCGTAAAAGATGAACGGTCCAAGCCCGGTATTGAGTCTGCATCCGGTTCACGTACCATACGGAATGGACGATGATGAAGTAAGTACTGTCGCTTTGATTTACGCCATTTAGCGGCTGGATAAGTATAAATTTGTCCTTCGCGGATGCCAGGCATACGATGTCGTCGTTTCATAAACAAAGCACAATTAGTTTGAGCGACGCCAGTTTGTTGATCTAAAAACGGCATTCGTAGCCTACGCTCTATGCACAATCGCGTATTATAATTCTCACTATTTTCCAACAATTCTCGATAAGCTGTATCATTTAAAAATGATTCGATTTTCGCTAAATTTGGTATATTTACAATTTGTATATCTGCAGACGCCATTGCCGCCATACTGCATTAGATGGATTTTAGTCTTGCTTTGCTTGTTTTCCGTGCACTGAACTTGGATCGATGATTGTTTTTTTTTTCCTTATGCTCTTCATTTTGACAGCGCTTGAGCTTCATGAAATGACTTACTATAGACTCACTCACCAACTCACGCACGGATGCACGGATGCACGGATGCACGGATCCACGGGTAAACACATACATTGGAACTCATGCTATTGGTCGCTAAAGATGAGTTTTTGATATATTAAGGTATTTTTATATGCTTCAAAGGAAATATTCAATCTTTAAAAGTGCTTATGGCAAATGATAAATAAATAAGATTTTATTTTTCACGATTTATCGTGAAATGAAAAAGATTCGTGTCAGCAATACTACCAACTTTTAACAAACAAATAAATGTATATATGGATATATGGATATACGGTGTGTTAATTACCTGACACAGTTTAAACAATTCTATTCAAGAATAACAAAATTGAAAAGAAACATCAAAACCAAAAATAGCTTGAGCGTAATTCTAATTATTTGGAGTATTTGATATCTTATTAATATTAATCTATCGCAGACCGTAAAATACAATCCAATGGACAAAAAAACATTAAGTACAGCTTCATCAAAACACATAACCTCCAATCAAACAACACTGACAGTAGATCAGCTAGATATTGAAATCTTGCCAATAATATACGAAATCATTCGATGGTACATACTGACAAAATATTTGCATTTGATCAATTCATTTTTGTTTTATAATTATTTCTTCAAGTTTCGAGAAAGATCCCACAGACAACGCAGCCAAACAACGTGAGTCACAGGATTGCAGTCAAAAAGTATGTCATCCATCAATGAGTGTGTCGCATGACTTACGACAACCGATATTTTTTTTATTTATTTTTTTTAAATTAACATTGAAAAAATTTTCTTTTTCAGGTGATTGAACTGCAACGTCGTTTGGATAACGCTCGTTCTCAAATAGGTAGACTCTCAGGTATCAACCACAACAAGGAAGAACAATTGCATCGCTTGGAACTACTACGAAATCAGCTCAAACAGAAACAACATTTAATTAAGAAATACAAAAATATTCAATTTTAAATATGTTTCGATATCTTTTTAACCGATTGGCCAGCGAAAAACTCATTGAATATCTATCGGAAACGTACGTTATAAAACGAGCAGCACAAATGACCGTTGCCGCATATTATAAAATTTCTGGTGAAAAGCGATTTAGTAATCTTTTTCAACCGGGAAAATTTCTAAATTCATTTAAGGGACACTTGAAAAAGGAAATCGAGGATGTGCAACGTGAAGTTAGGAAAAAACAAAAGTAGTTTCACATCGGTGTCAATTTTTATTTAGAATTAACTTGAATTAAAAGCATTTTTCCAAATAAATTGAATAAATATTATCTACTTGCGACCATTGTATAACACCAAATTTCAATTGAAATCATATCCACTGAACGCGACTTCTTACTCAAAAAAGGCATTGATGAAAAAATCAAAGGTCAGTGGACTAACAAATCGTGGGATCATTTTCTTAAATTAAATATGTATTGGGTCTGGGAATTAATCGTGTCGATTTTTCAAAAGATGGCGTAACTTTGCATGGTTGTATCGGGCAATACTTTTTTCTTTTTCACATGAGTGGTCTAGTGTCAAACTACAAAAATCATCATCTATCATTTCATCGAAGTTTGGATAAACATTTTTTTTTTGTCAAATTTTGTACCGAAAAAGCAACATTTCCCGCAAGCATTAATTTTTTGCTTTCATTTGAAGAAAACTGCGGCTGAAGCGCATCGAATGTTGGTGGAAGCCTATGGTGAGCATGCTCCATCGGAACGTACATGTGAACGGTGGTTTTCACGGTTCAAAAGTGGTGATTTTAGCACGGAAGACAAGGAACGTCCCGGCCAGCCAAAAAAGTTTGAAGATGCGGAATTGGAGGCATTGCTCGATGAAGATTCGAGTCAAACTCAAGATGAGCTTGCCAGAGCATTGAATGTTGACCGAAGCACTGTTGGATATCGTGTAAGGGCCCTTGGTTTCATTCGCAAGTTGTCAAATTGGGTACCACATGAATTGACGCCAGCGCAAGCTGAAAGGCGTTTAGTGACTTGCGAAATGCTGCTCGCAAGGCACAAAAAAAGAGGTTTTCTGTATCGAATTGTCACTGGTGACGAAAAATGGATTCATTACGATAACCCCAAGCGCAAAGCATCGTATGTTAAGCCCGGCCAACCAGCAACATCACAGCCAAAACAAGAAATTCACGGCGACAAGGTAATGCTGTGTATTTGGTGGGATGAGGAGGGAGTGGTGTATTATGAGCTGCTGAGAAGTGGTCAAACCATCGATGGGCCTTTCTACCGACAACAATTGATACGTTTGAAACAAGCAATCAAAGAAAAACGCACGAAATGGGAGACCAGAAAAGAGACATTGATTTTCCTACATGACAATGCTCGGCCACACATTGAGAAATCGGTCAAAAACTACTTGGAAAATAGCGGATGGGAAGTTTTGGCTCACGCCCCGTATAGCCCAGACCTGGCTCCTTCCGACTACCATTTGTTTCGATCGATGCAAAACCATATGGACGGAGAGCGGTTCTCTTCAGTTGAAGAAATCCAAAATTGGCTCGATGCATTTATAGCCTCAAAAGATGAGGAATTTTTTAAGGCAGGCATCCGTCAATTGCCCACATTGTGGCAGAAGGTCATCGCTTCCGATGGACAATATTTTGATTGAAATGTAATTTCATTTTGGTATTCAAATAAATGTTTGAAAATTTAAAAAAATCGACAAAACTAATTCCCAGACCCAATATATGGTTATGAATATGGTTGATTGCTGCTATCTCAATCATCATGGGCTTCCGGCATTCTGTTGTACGGCACCATTTACATTGCGAGCATTTGGCAACATCATTTCGATGGATCAGAAAAGCCTGAATGAATAAATTAATAATTCAAAGTAAATGAATGTAGTCACTTCTTCGTACAATTTTGTACATACCTTTGTATAATACCAGTTTCGTTGAATTTTTTTTTCTGGCTTTGCACCATCTTCCATTCCAACATTTACAACATTTGGTTGCCATGTTTTGACGAAATGTTCTTCTTTTGCTCCAAACGGTCTGTGCTTGTTGATGTCTAAGTTGCTGCAATCTCTCGCATCACCAATTTCTCCTGGCATGTTCGTTCAATTGCTCGCATCATTTGACAATCATGACCATCGTTGAATTTTTAAAATCGATCACGTCGAATGTCCAGTGGATATCGTTGGAAGCAGCGCATATTGCTCACATAGATATGTGAATGCATTGCCCGAAACTTTGATTGTTGGTCATATTCAACACACTAAATTCTGGCACCATGTTGGGACCGAATTTGTTGACGACAGCTTTGAAACGATTGAAAATGGTTTCGAAGCCGTTATTGAAAAAAAATGCTGCTGTGATTCCATCATCAGCAGTGTCTTGAGCATCATTCATTTCGTATAAGAACAGCAACGAAGCCAAAGCCGCAATGAGTGTGTCTCGCACACAATGAATAAATTTCAATACACAAAGTTCGGGCTACAGATTTCTCTGAATCAGTAAAAGTCAGCACCAAATAAGAAACAAAGCACACATTCGTCGTTTCAGTGGATTGTGTGTGCCGGGTATTTGGATTGTAGTACCGATGTATTTTGTAAACAAACATGAACCTGTGAACTTTAAAGTGGTCAATTCAGAAGGAAATATTCGCCGCATACACTTCACATTAATACCCATAGTAACAGAAAATCCTCAGCTATCTGTCATTGACTTCTAAAAAGTCATGTTTATATCAGATTTAGAAGAAAAATCACCAAAAATGTTAATTGAAAAATTGAGCCAGTGCATGACTCTTTGAGAAGGTGCGTATAATCGCACGGAGCAGAAAACGATGCTCAGTTGTGTTGCTGAATTCGATACTGAGCGTGCTCTCGGTCATCTCTGAAAAAAAGGACGAAAACTCGCGACAGACTCACACACACAGACGAACATTTAGTTTTTTTTTTCAATTTTATAGTGAGTAAGTTTTAACTAAACAAATCGCTAAATTTGAAAGAAAGAGATGATGAAATTGGTTGTATCAAAGTTTGCTTGATAATGTGTGTTGACTTCGATTACTTGGAGATGTGAAATGAAACCTAAGGCAACGGAAAAGTTCAAGAAATGTTCGTATTGCTTATGAAAGTAGCTATATTTCATGGGTAGGTAAATAAAACCATGATGCGTTTTTTTTATTTAAGACGCTGTCCATTAATCATAATTTAAATTATTTTATATTTTTATGTATATATATATAAGTATTATGAAGTTAGTCGTATCGGGACTATTGTACACATAACAATTTTTGCTGAATCTCTTACTTTACCATCAGTGTTTTAACTATTGTTTTTATATATTTATATTTCTATCTAACAAAAATGAATGCTATTTTTTAATGCTAAATTACATGAATATTTGTTATTCGATATAGCTTTATTGATTTATTCAATTGTTCTTTCATTGTTCTTCTATTTACATAGAAGCTTATCAACATTTATTTTTTCTAATACTTGCACCTAGTTTTCCATGCATTTATGGTGAAGTTGCATTTTGCATATATATAAATTAGATCGGAATTTAATGGATATATATATTGATTTATCCCGCCGATCTTTCAAATTCCATATTATTTTTGGGCTTAATTTCACGGATATTTTGTGCATCTTTGCTGTAATTTCTGTTTTCATTACGGTTCCTGTGTGAATTTTCTTCGAACGTATGTTTTCTTTTCTATTCCTTTAAATCGGCTAAAGTCATCGGATTCTTTTGCATATATGGGTTTTATTTGAGCTCACTTTATTGAAAACATTATGAATACTTCCGATAAAAATTGCACCACATTCTATCAATTCTATCGGCATAACGAAGTAGGATGGGTTGCTTTGAAAGTGTGTTGAAAATCGAACGAAAAATACTTCCTATAATGGCTTTATGGCTTTCCAAAGCAAAAAAAAGTTGCGTTTTGCCCATGCAGAATTGTTTGTTCTCTGGGAATTTTGAAATATTTTTAATTTGCGTTTGTTCTTAGCATTAATAAATAAAAATAACAATGAATGAAGCCATCATAGTAAGCATCCAGATGATAGAATAAGAACATTAAATTGATTTCAGAAACTCTTCGAGCTTGTTCGTATCATCAACATATTTGACTTATGGAATACCGTTGCATAAATCACTTTTTCACCGGACTACCCCATCAATTTGGTTAGGTGGTCGATTTGTTACAATTATGGTTGTACTATTAGTCGATGAATCGAAGGTGTCTGATGAATGTACATTTCCTACAAAAACAAATAAATGAATATTTAGTTTCAATTTGTTAAATGGTGATTGAGTTAGTAGGTGTAGTACCGTTTAACGATTGGTCAGTTGGTTGTTGAGATTGTAGGTTGTAAACGTGCTTTTCCACCACTGTCGTTGTGGTGGTTACCGCCGCCGCAGCCTCACTTAGCTTCGTGAAATCAGTTAACACAACTTGACATCTTGTCAAATCAGTGCTTTGATCCTTTCCTGTGGTTCCTTTGGATGTGGATGCAGCTGTTGGTTCGGCCATAACATAGCCTCCACCTTGTGAACTTCTCGCCAGTTTCAACCGGATGGGGGCAGCAGGTAATAGCTGTGGCGAAATCTCTGCTGGCGCATGAGATCCACTTTCATCCGCCGAATCGTTAAGCGATGTTTCTGCTTTACGCTTAGCGAAACGAATGATAAGTTTTGATGGATTCATGTCACTGCTTACAATTTCGACTTCGGGTTTCTTTTCCTTATCTTTTTCTTTTTCTTTTTTCTTCTTATGTTTCCCCTTCTCGCGTTTGGATTTGTCTTTCTTCTTTGGTTTTGCTGTATCATTAAATTGGCTGATCACTTGTTTACGGAAATTCATGCTATCTCGACGTAGCTCTTCAAAGCTGGGTATTGTTATGTTCGATAAACGCTTCTTGGGTGGTTTTGCACTGCCGCCACCACCACCACCGCTACTATCAACACCGACACCAGACGCCTCAAACACCACATCGGGGCCTAGTTTGATTTTTAACTTTGGCGTAGTCATCACAGCTTGTTTGGTTCGTGTTTTTCGTTTACTGCTTTCACCAGCATTACTCGATGATGTATTACTTGCATTTGAGCATACACTTCGTCGACGCTCAGGCATTTCATCATATGATGGTACGTCCAACTGTCGAAGTTCACGATTTGCAGGAACTTTCCGTTTTTTGATATCCAAAGCAGTATAGTCTTTATAATCATCTTTCGTTGGTATTGAACTCATTGAATCTACGGCTTTTGGGATTCCGGCACTTCGACCACCACTACTGTTTGTGGTAGCAGAGGCTGAGTTTTGTGTTTGTTCCTGTTGTGGTGCACAATTTGAATCATCCATATTCTCCTGTGTCCAATATTGTCGCAATAATTCCTTTTTACGCATTCGACGAATCGAACTATTTGGTGTGCCTTGAATCGTTTGTTCAATAGTGGTATTGTTATGTGACTGATAAGTTGTGATTACAGATGATGTGTAATTTTCAGGTCTAGCGTGTGGTCCTTTGATTTTTAGTTTTATTAATGAATGTTTCGGTGGTTCAGACCCTTCCAAATGAGCATCTATATGTGATGTCATGGTTGGATCAATCATCGTTGGATCAATCATATGCGTCGTGAACTGTTCGTTTGGCTGAACCGCGTCCAACAACAAATCACATCCATTACCACTACCTCCACCACCACTATTAGTGGTGCTCATTTCGTCGCTACGTCCTGCATTCGTAGATATTTTTGCATTACTTGCTTTCAAGGCTGATTGGAAATCTTTTTCCAATTCTTCGTCAATGTCAGGTAATGTTTGATCAGCTAATCCACTCGCAAAGGCACCCAGCATATTACTACTGTTGAACACATCGCTGTTGCTACTTGCATCGAAACCAGAATTGTATGTGCGCATATCAACTGGACCGGGCATCACCGGTTCAATCGTATGCATCGGTAGCTGAGTCGCCGTAGAAGTGTTTTGTATTGAAATGACAGAATTCGCTTCATGTGGCGATGGTGGTCTTAAATCTCGAATATCTGCGCGCCACGCTGGAATCGATTTCTCGCCTAAGTAGTTATTGCTCAATTAATTAAAGTTTGAATAATAACAATAAATACTATGATTACTAGAACTTTTTTGAACTTACCCATTTTTTGATTATTTGTAGCTGCTGCAAACTTAGGTGATTCAGAAGCGTCCCTCGATCGAAATGTTTCTGATTGATGCCGATAATCAATGGAACGACGTCTTTCACGCATCGATTTGAGATTTTCTACATTATCACCACATTTTAAATCCTCATCGAAGTCTAGATCATACACCGTTCCCTGCAGTTTATTATGAATGGTTCCAGCACCAATATGATTATTCAGATCAAACAGTGTATTAGGTAATGCTGTGAAGAAAAATGTATAGATGTGTGGATTAGTAAATATTGGAATGTTTTTTTTTTTTTTTTTCAAAAATTATACTCAAAATACTTACCAAGTGGTACAACGAGTGGAGTTCTACCTCGACCACGACCTCGTGATGAGACTGAAATTCGTGCAACTGTACCAGCACCTCCACCACTACCAACACCGCGACCGACACTTAAATTCTTCGCACCACGCGAACGACCTCTTGCTGATTCGGACTTTTGTCGTACAATTTCCATTTGTCGTGGACTCTTGCCGGGCGATTTGCTTGGTGATTTCAGCGTTGTTTGTATTGTTTGTGAATTATATCGGGTTGGCCGCTTCGATAATTGTTCCGAATTAGTAGTAGTACTAGTAGTAGTAACAGCAGTAGCAGTAGTACTTCGATCGGGCATTATTTGTTTCTCTGTATTCGATATCAAATCTTTTGGCAAATTTTCTAAGCCGTATGTAGTATCTGTCAATGATTGTGATGATGTTTGATGACTTGCTTGTGATGTTTGATTTGAGCCAAATGACTGCTGCTTCTGTTGGCATTGATGTGATTCAACCGTTTGCGACGATGATGGTGGCTGTTGTTGTGGTGGTGGTGGTATTTGGGGTGACAGTATAGGTTGAACCGGTGGAATACCTTTTGAAATGAATTAAGTTATATTTTTTCTATGTTTCTAATTCACATAATTTGGACTAATTTTCTGTACTTACGATTGAAGTCAATTTTATTGCTGTTGCTGATGTTATTATTATTATTACTACTACCGGTTATATGTGGTGAAATCGATGCTAGAAGGTTATTTCCGCTAGGCGATGTGATGGAAGACACATCCGATTGAACGGGTGATAGCGCCATCATTGTTGTTGTTAATGCCATATTACGTGATGATGACGTAAACGCAGCACAAAGATTTGAGGAATAGTTTATTGAACTAGTTATGGCTGAGTTTGGAGTGGGCGTGTCTCCATGTTTTGACGTTGGCTGTATATTTGCAGTTGAAGTTGCGGATGAAAACGCATTAACAAATTTTGGAGGGAACATGGCGGCTCCAGGAGATGGAAACGGTACTTGAGTGTTGAGACTTGAGCCACTTGTTGGTGGAAATAACGATACCGGGCCATTTTCGTTAGGAATGTTGAACTGGCTCAATTGACCTGGCGGATGCTGCACAGATTGCTGTGACGCTGAGAATGATACCATACTTTCATTGGCGATAACTTCATTGGTACGCATGGTGGCTGTGTTTGGTACGTTATCCATTTCATTTGATGAAGTTGGTATATTTGTAGTATTTGTGGCCATCTTTTGTATGTGTTTTTTTTCGATTTGCATATCATTGTTCTCAGACTCAGAACTAGGTGATGATGATACAGATCGTCTCGTCTGAATCATTTCTTGTTCCGACCATTTGTTTCGTATGTAACCCTCGTTTTCATCAATATCTCCTATTAAATCACTGCGATGCCGAATCGTAACTTGATCATTCTTTTCGTTTTGCTGTGCAGATGGATGTGCCTTTTCATGCTATTATTGTTTTCAAAAATATTTATTTTATTACAAATTTCAAGAAAATTTCAAAAACTACGAACTCACCAATATTTGAATGGGTCGATCGAATGACTCTTGATTTCCATTGACAGTATTACATGCGTATGTTTGCATATTGAATACATTGATATTCGGAGTTTCATTCATTTGTCCTCCCATAAGCATATCATTAGACATTTTACTGGCAATTTGTTCAACTTCAGTTTGTAATTGCATGGGCGGCGTCGAGTTTATTATGGTTGCAATCATATTTTCTCGAGCCTTCTCTATTTCTTGCGTATTCTGAATTTGATTACAATCGATGGACACCATTGGTTTTGATGTTTCAATATTACTCGACACATTTGATTCGGGAAGCTTTCTTTCATCGCTGCTATTTTCCTGATCTAAATCAATGACCAATGTCGGTTGCTGTACCAAAGCAGCTTTAGACTTTATATCGATTGATGTCGATGTGGATGAGGATATTAACTCATTATTATTATCAACCGAACTAGATTTGATGTTCTTATCCACCGTAGTCGAATCGGGTGGTGTTGCAGGTTCAATAGTCTGCATTGTTTGGCTAACACATTCCGGCTTATTTCTACCACATTCATCACCTTTACCACCTTTCTTTATATTCTGCCTCAAATTTGCAACCAGATCCATTGTTTCTTTGGCACTGTCTTCTTTAAACAAATTATCAGAATTGAAAGGTATCGAAAAATTATCGCTGAAATCAAATATAGATGTCTCGCGTTTATCAATAGTAGGTGGCGGAGAAAAAATTAACGAAGATTTTGGTGTTGGTGGTTTCGGCATGTTATTTACAAACTGCTCCTGTTCGAACTTGTTGGTGGCGCTAGGTCGCTGTTGGTTACTTTCGCTTGCCTGATCTTCTTGGTTTACTTGATCTGCTTGACCCGCTTGGATATCTAGAATATCTTTAGTAGTAATTCTGCTGGTATCGGAATCCACAACATGTTGATTTTGTATGTCACTTTCGTGAGTTTTTGATTCTTTTGGTTCAATCTCCATATCAACAGGGCTCTTATTAGCTTCTGAACTCTGCGATGATCTCTTATTTTGTTTACTCGTTTTTTGTAATTGCGTTTGCTTTTGTTGTTGTTCTTTTTCTTTTTGTTTACAGAATAACTTATCTATAGTATCAGACAATTTCGATTTGCTGCCGCTGATCGTGTTTGTTGCTTGATATTCAGCCTTTCGCTCGTTGATTTCTTCTTCCAGTGATTGCACAGTTGGTTTCATTTCGGGTGTTTTTAACCTCTCGTTCGTTTCCCGTTTCGTAGGTGAAAGTTTACTGGGCTCGCTGCTCTTTTCAATGGTGGTAGGACGGTTTTCATATGATGACTTATTCTTTGAATTTCCGATTGATTGACCTTTTGCCGATAATGACGATAGTGGTGCTTGTGGTGGTAGTGGTGGTGGTGGTGGTGATGATGATGATGATGAAATGATTGACTTTGGTTCAATTCTATTTTCAGCGCTGACTTTATTTTCGTGCTTTGATTTGTCTTCAAGTGAACTTGATTTTCGTTTCCTTGCTGTCGATTTCGCACCGAGGATCGCAATGGCCCTCGCCGACTCTGATGATTTGACAGATTTTTCTGGGGTAGAATTGGTTGCATTTTTAATCTGTTTTTCGTCAATAATACGTCTGGTATTTGTGTCGCTTTTCGCACTTGATTTGACTGGCGATGTGATTGATTTGATGGCACTCTTAGCCAAAGCTCCCGATCGGCTGTCAGTGCTTTGATGTCGATCATTTGATAAGCTGCAGATAAATAGAAACATTTATGATAACTGTTTTTGAAAATATTTAGAGCTTATTTCAATACAAGATTTAATTGAAATATGATTATCAATGAATTTAGTCAAATGTCTTAGTTATAGCGAACATTTTATATGAAATTTTCAAAAAAAATGTATTGTATGTAAATAATAATTCGCAATTACCTCTTTCCAGCTCGTCCTGGTTTTGTTGTTGGTGATCTAATCGATTCCTCTCTCTTAGGTGATGACACGGGAAGTTCAGCATTGTTGGTTTTCTTATCGACGAAATCTTTCCGTTTGGTTGAGGTTGTGATGGTAGTTCTGTTAAATAAAATACAATTTAAATATGAATTCAGTCGAAAATTGTAGAGAAATGGAGTATTACTTTGATTTCGTCGGTGTGACGACTGGAGTCTTTCTAACGATACTACGATTCGTTTCATCGTCGGAACTCGATTCACTTGAATCGGAATCACCACTGCTGGATGATTCATCAGAAGTGGTAGAGCTTGAAGATTTCGATCCCTTGTTAAGAAAGGGCGAAACTTTTTTGTCTCCTTCTGAATCATCATCGTCTGAATCGCTAGATGAAGACGTCGAACCACTACTGCCAGACGATGAGCTTGAACTCGAACTGGACGAGGATGAGCTCGATAGTTTTGGTGAAGACGGAACTGTAATGAAACATAAAACCCGTGAATACTTGTAACAGTGGAAATGGCTACAAATAATATTGTTATTATACATACTATTTGATTTATTGTGCATGGATGACGACAATGACTTTGTACTTGTTGCCACGGACATTGGTTTATCTTGCTTTTCTTCAGGAAAGGAGGCAGTATTTGTGGCATCTGTTGTAACAACTTTGCCCAAACCTTTGATATGTTCGGCGGCTTTTTTTGCCGCCTGTCGTTGTGGCACATACGCTACCATAATATCTCTGTCTAATTTTTCGGATTTTTTAGTTTTGACATCCTTCTCTTTTGTCATGTCAGCCAACGGTGACGATGAAGGCTCTATCTGTGTCATGGTTTTATTGATTGATTTTGATATTTTACTCTTTTGCTTGATTGTGGTTTCTTTCGGTTGTGGGCCAGATTCTTTAGATGAGTCTCGGTTTTCCTTAATTTTACTTATTTCTTTAGGCAATTCCTTTTTTTCTTCATCTTTTGAATGTTCTTTCTTTGACGATCCAATAAGTTGCGTGCGCATCATATTCTCAGATGCTTTTTTGGCAGCTTGCCTTTGAGGTACCACAAGCAGATCGGTTGGAAAATCTTTTGATATCTCTTTTCGCTTCTTTTTATTCTTCAATTTATCAGTTTTCTCGTTTTGCAGTCTTTCAATGCGCTCTTTTTCGGCTGCCTCCTTTTCAATGCGTTCTTGCTCGATTTTAGCTAATCGCTCTTTTTCGGCCTTTTCATATTGAATGCGTTCCTTCTCTGTCTTTTCTTGGCCTTTTTCTTTTAATGATTTGGCTAATTTATCCCTACGTCCTTTCTGTTGGCCTTGTTGTTCGTAGCTGTCTTGCAATCTTTCCCTTTCAGCATCGAGTCGTTCCTTCTCTTTCACTTGATTCGTTGTGAGACTACTACTACTGCTATCTTTATTACTTCGACTCGAGGCTTTAGAGGCTGTTGAATTGTGGTGAGAATTAAATTCTTTGACGGCTGCTTTAGTTCGGAATGTATGATTTTGAGAGTCACTAGCTGTGTTATCAGTTTTCTCCTTATCTGTGCTGTCACTATCCGAATAAATCGATGTCGATAATTTCTTACTACTATTCAATGACCCAGATACTCCAATGCTGTTACGTATTGGCACCAGTTCATCGCTGTCGGAACCGGATAACTTTTCTTTTGCCAGCTCTCTTTCCATTTGCCGTAATAGTCTACTTGGTGATTGTTTCTCAGATGTTTTTGAATTTGCATCGGAATCGCCACTCGAACCAAACTCATCTTCTGAACGTCGTCTTGGACAAGGACTTTTCTGCTCCTCTTCTTCTTCACTGGAACTATCGAATGACTTTTGCTTCCGTGCAGCTGTTGAATAAGATATTAAAATAGTGTTAATAGTTTTGGAAGGATGTTAAGAAAGTATGTAAATTATGATTTAAATAAATTTACCCGTTCGACGTTTCTTTTTCTCGGTGACTCTTGCCTCAAGAGACTTAACAGCTGATTGGACAGACTTCTTTTTATTGGGAGATACATTCCTTCGCCGTGCGTTCGATAGTATATTGTTGTCTTCCTCACTTGACGATCGAAGCCTTCGATCGCACTCACTGCTACTTGAAAGGCTACTATCGTATATCTTTGATGAAGTTTTATTGGTCGATGTACCATTTAGGTACAAGCGGTTGAATTGATTGTCTGGATATTGAGTCTTCTGTGCGTTCTTTTTCCATTTGTTCATACCATTTAGATCGACTTTGGTTTGCGATCGTTTTTGGTGATTTTCGTTCTGCAATTTATTATTATTGGTGACCTGTATTGCTGTCATTGTCATCGCCGTTGACGATTTCGTCGACAAAGCACCAGTCAATGTTGAAATCATTTCTTCAAGATTTATTGACGTATTTGCACTAATTGCTTCACTAGAATAGAGTTTATCGTACATTGAAGGGCCATGATTAGCTTCCAAAATTGCAGTTAACAGTGAATTATCTATATTTTTCGTATTCAACTCATTTAACACAGAAGTTTGTCTATGAAATGTTTGTTCGCGCATTTTAAAGAACGACCGACTGAGCTTCTCGCGCCGACTCACCATGTAGCACAAGTTGCGCACTCGCTCTAAATCTTGTCGCAGATGTACGAACATCTTCATTTTCTCATTATCAGCCTGTTCTTGCTTGTGAGCAATCATGTCGGCATCCTCTGACTTTGGCGGTAATAACGGTCGGTTATTTGCGGCCTTACGTTTCAATACCCAATAGTTATAAACGTAATTGATTGCTTCTTGGTCCACCTCAAGAACAGTGCAATTGATGTCCTTAATACTAACATGTTTATCAAACTCGGCTTCAATCTCTTGTAACCGTTTTGCGCGTGCCATATTTCGTTCTTCAGTCGTCATATCCTTTCGCTTCTTTCGTTTATTTGTATCGTCGTCCTCCGTGCCTGAGCCGCCAGCATTTGTGTGCGCGATACTCTTCTCTTTCTTTTTGATATTGTTTTTATTCACGCTATGCTTCAAACAATACGATTTCAATTTAACACCATCTTCTGCATTTTCGTCTTCTATAATGGCACGCATTTCTAGGCCGTGTTGAAATGCACACGTTACGTGATATGCAGTTTTGCACGGCTTTACTGAACATTGAATGCATGCACCAACTCGTTCGCGACATAATACACAAATCAGAGCCCATCGTGATTGTGGAATGCTTGAGATTTTTGTTATCGGTTCCATTCGGTCGACTGAACCAATGCTCACTTCTGGAATCCACAGCGCACACGAAACGTGAGCCCATTTCTGACCTGAACGAGCTGATTTCATTGCGCCGCCTTTGTTTGGACATAGCACACAGTCAGGTCTTTGACCCATCGAACAAGTACGACACAACCATTGACCTTGAGAAAATAGAAATATATAAATCGTTATTGACAATCAATACTACCTTTTTCTAGTAATACGAATAATCGGGGTAATATCTTAAGGATTCTCACCTGACGGTATAGTTGTAATACCATAGCAAGCCTGATGTACACATATGTTACAACTATCACAGAACACCATTTCATTTGCTTCTTCTGAATCTGGCGAGCGACATACATCGCATATCACATTTTCATCATATTCAATGCCCAATCCTTCTTCAGTTTTGATGATAGCCTGAATTTTATCCCAACACACAATCTGTTATAGATGATAAATATAAATGATGTAGACAATTTTTTTATCTACTATAGACTAAGTAATGATAGTATATATATATATATACCTCTAGCTCCTCAATAACACGTTCAAATTGTTCCTCTGTTACGGCTAAATGACCAGCCATTGTGCGTTCCCCATTAAGGATATTTAGCCATGCCTCATCAACTGGATCGAGATCATATGAACATGATGCTTTTGCCATTGCGGGTGTGTTTGATAAATAATGCAAGTCCGATGAAAAATTTTCATCTTTCGTAATGCGTATGAATTTGTTTTTGGGTCTAAATTACACACATGTGCAATGGAATGAGAAGAGAATATTTAAAGATATTAAGACATTTCACAATTTTCAGTTCAACGAAGGCGAATTCAATTAATACACCTTGACTATAGTCCATAGTCAAAATAAATGTCCCATACTTACAGTTTAAAATCCTGTCGACCTGTATAAAATGATTCTTGTTGCTTTGCTAGCACAGTTGGTTCTGGTAAAGAATCAGGACTAACTGGAACTTGAACTCCTCGCTCCCATTCTTGTTTCCATTGATCTGTAATCACCCAGTACTCATCAGATGCCAAAGGCTCCGAATCTGGTAATTTCATGGCACTGATTAAATCTTTGCGAAATAATTCAGCCGGTGGTTCAGGCGCACTACGATTGTATATACTTGATAACTTCAGATCACTTAATGATCGTGCCTGCCATGCTGATGATGACGTTGTTGATGGCGACATGGTTGAACCGTTTTGTTGCCCGCCTGTAAAAATAATATTAAATGCATTATGTAAATAAGATGTGAACTTATACTAAACAAATAAAAGACTCACTCTCTATTGTATTAGGATGCACCGAATTGCCGTTACCTAAATTTGCTGAATTGGATTTATTGGCTGGAGGACGTCCTTTTCGCTTTTTTGTCGGCGGCGGTTCATCGTTGTCCAAACGACTTTGTCGTTTTCCCCGCTGCGACATTTTCGCACGCTCTTTGTCTACCACACACTTTAAATTCTTCTTGTTTTCCGCCAATAAGTGCAGTGAACTTGCGATAACATTATTAGGATTATTTGTTTTCTTTTTGTTTTTCTCTTGTATTTTCTTCGCTTTAAATTTGCCTTCTCGGGTTCATTGGCAAATCGTTTCGCACCGCTGATTCTTTGATAAATAATTGAAAATAAAAAAATCAATCACAAATTGGTCATATGTTAATATGTTTTTTAAAACTAATTAAAATTCAAAACATTGAAAATGTATATTGCTACCAGTAGTTCATCCAAAACTATAATCCATTCTATTATTTATTGTAATTTAAACATTTCACAAAACATATTTAGCAAACAGCCTAAAAATTCAAACTCAACTCACCCGGATTATTCTCATTCGTTGAATTCAGTACCTGCAATGAAAATAGTTTTGTGATTATAGCTGATTTCGAAAAAAAATTTAAATTAAACTTTTTCCATCAACAATAAAGAATACTTTAATGTCCATTTATTCATACGCTCATAAGACACTCAATCATTCACTCACTCTTGCCTGTAAATAAGGCCAAATTGATTCTTGTTGCAAAAAATTTGCAGGAGATTCCATTTTGCATTCATACTGAATAATTTATTGTTCGATTACTCTGAAAATTTGAATCTTTCGTAAATAAATACTTTCGCTGCTCAATCTGAGATCCATTTAACTCATATTTATTATTTAGCTTCAAAAAATATATCGAGCAAAATAACCCTAAATGATTTTATGATGTTATCACAGGAACGGAAGAATTCATCCATATCTCAATATTTATTGCACATGATTGAACAAATTATTTCTGGCACAATTTAACACTTTTCGATACTTCATAGAAAATATTGTTGGTCGTTTATATTTTTATTATTGATCGTTTGATACGATAGATTGGAATTTATGGAAAAAAAAATGAATCGGGCGTTCAAACGCTAGTTGATACACAGTTACAACTCTTGTTTCTATTGTTTTTCTTGTCTTCCTGTTCAAATAATTTCACCTTCTTACGAATACAAATATTTTTCGTCCATCAAAAGTATCTGTATTTCTTTGGTCAAAACATTTATTCAACAAATAAACCGAATGTAAAATCAAAATAGCATTTACAATCACAAATGACCTAAACAAATGGTTGTATCCAATATTAAGACAACATGTCACATAGCCACATAATTTTTTTGCACAAAATCACTGTTCCATTCAGATAAATGGATATTTCACTCATTCAACTTCGCACATTTATCGAGAATTATTAACAAAATAACAACACTTTTTCAGTATAATAACAAGAAATATGAGTTGTATGAATTTGTATAATCTTCTTTATTATTTGAAATCGAAAATCGAGTTTCATGCAAACAATTTATGCTATCAGCAAAATTCACTCATAAAATTCACTATCAATATATTCAATTTATTTACCATTCAATAGAATAAAACAAATTTTACATGTACTGCACATTGAAATTTAAAAATGAGAACTTTTAGTTTGTTGTTATTTAAAATAAACCAAAGGAATATTTACATGGCGAGACACGGCCGCCATTATAATAATTTGACTCCATTTTTTGTTCAAATATGTTCTCTTTCAATGGGCTTTCTCTCTTTTTGTCACTGTATTCTCAGTACATGAATCGTAGACACTCTCTCAGTGTCATACTCACGGATACGTACATGCTCATAAGGCCAATAAAGATTCGTTCACGTATTTAATACTCAGTATTTGGTTCACTAAAAAGCAAGACATTGACAGAAAAGGTGGCGCTGCTACTGTGCGCACACACAAAAATCATTTTCCCTCTATAACACGAAGAGTATGCACGCATATATACATACAGATCAGCACGTACACATGTATATGCACATACATAAAATTTAAGTCTAGAAAAATTTCCTCCTATAGCGCCGTAAATATGCGTAAGCAAAAAAATTCATGAAGAGAAAAATGTCAACAGTTATAATGTCGAACCATCGAAATAAAAAAAAGCTTAACATAAATTATGCAATCATTATTGTACTCCAAAAGCCCACAGATCTAAAACGCAAATGTCTAAATTTTATCTAACCAATCAATAGAACAGAATAGACAATATTTGAAAAAAGAGGTTGTCGCTTAATGAAATTATTTCAACTTTGTGACAAATTTGTATTTTGTTTTAGTTTACTATGAGATATATAAATTTATTTTTCCTTATTTGGTTCACTTGAATTTACATCGGACAACACCGAAATCAACATGATTACGTTTAAAGGAAAGAGAGAAAAAGATTGAGAGAGAGAGAGAGAGAGAGAGAGAAAGAAAAGTAAAGAATGCCAGAGAATAAAGAGTAAGAGAGAGAGACAGGGAAAAGTGAGAGAGAGACAGAGAGAGAGAAAAAAACAAACGAACTTCCAACAAGAAATAAAGAAGAAACAATTGATTTCTTCTAATGGTAGGATAAATATGTGTAATTGGACACATTTATTGTAGCATATTCAATCTCATACTCTCTCATTCAACTCAAATCTTTGTTAAATTCATTTCGATAACATTCCTCCGTGTGTAATATTGCGAACACAATTGAGATTTTATATTATGATATTTTATAGAATCAACGGACTTGCTAAAATCAAACGTTGACTCTTTTGCTGCGTTTTCATTTCGAGATGAGTTTCTTTATGTATTTAATTTCCAACATTCAATTTTCAATGTTGCCTTGGAACGGATTTGTCAAACCATTGACAAAGAGAAATGTTATAAAGCAAACCGAATATAACAAAATTTACAAACGGAATTATTCCGAACGATCAATTGAAATCTCAACAATCCAAACGATTATACCATGAAAAACAACCGTTTAATTTATTGGCGGAATTCAAAAATATAACAACCTAAAATTGATAACTTTCATATCTATCTAGAATTCTTCATGGTAGGAAGGCAAGGAAATAATGAGTACTTATAAAATGGGATTTTTAATATGCCAATGAATATTGAAAATGAACAATATGAATTCCTATGATGAAATTTAGGATATCATTATCTGGCCAAGCAAGGTGCTGGGAACAGGAATGCAATTTATGGACAAAGAAAAATTCAATCGCTAAAGGAAGAAAATTTGCCAACACATTGTTCGACGGTGTTGAAAGATATGGTAGTTTAAACAACTGCAAAAGACGTGTAATATCAACCCAGATTAATCGTGAGAATTTATGTTTCTATTTAGCATCAGCTATAATGTTAGTGATTATTTTGTCTGAATGAAAACTATTTTCTTGATTCATAGATGAATCGCCGAATGTCTCTCATTCACATTGAAATTATAAAGGTTGCGCCTAATGTCAATTTCCCAAGAAATTGACCAAAGTCCAAAGAGAAAAATTCACTCATCAATGTAAGAACTAAAACGTAATCGCGCAGACAAGACCAAAATGAGATACATTGAAGCTACCTCTGAAAATTGTCGAGATGATTGAATAATCTGAAGAGAAAAATCTGCATTGTATGACAATAATAACCCATATGAAATTGATAGTTAGACGTCACAACAAATTTGTTGCTTCGGAAAATCTGAAGATAGACCGTTGCATTATTTTGAGGTCATAAAATGATGCAAAAACTCTGCTCTTTCTATTAAAAATACGCAATTTTCGTGTAATTAGTTTTGATATCAAAACCACTTTAAATTGTACTATAATATAATAAATAATACGATAAAATAACACATTTAGAAATATTCCCAAAATATTTTTCGCACAAAACCCTCTGGGACAATATGGTTGCTGGAAGCATGGAAGATAATTTATTTCAGAGTTCAAAATTGCATTATTGTTCCTCGCTCAGAAAAAAAGCTAAAAATGTATAAATGAATCGTTTTATTAGTGCGTATTCAAGATCTTTAATCAGGTGTAATTATTGCGCACAACTGATGTTATTACTACAAAAACTATCTTTTTCGGTAGTAATTTTAGCAAAATAGAAAATCGAAAATTGAACCATTACACTGCTGTGCTTAGCATGCATTGCATTCGTTTGCAAAATCAAGAAACTGCACTTCATCTGATTGTATACAGCGAACAACGCAGACACACACACACACACACACACACAGAGAGAGAGAGAGAGAGAGAGAGAGAGAGAGAGAAATCTTTTACTCGCACACGCATACAAACAGAAACTACAGGCACATATTACAGGCATATATGCACGAGAGAGAACAAATAAACAAATTCCGTCGATAAAGATGCTAGACTTTACATGTCCTTATACTTTCAAAAATGATTTGTAATCTCAAAACAAGCATCTGTCACTTATTTTATAATATTTCGCCGCATAAAAGTGCGGTTAAAACGACACTATTCTTTATATTCTTTGAAAATTAGCACAATCAACCATTACATTATTGTCTAAGCATATGAACCCAATAGGTAAAACCGAAAAAATAACCCAAAATCGATACAAAAACAAACTTTATAGTTCTTGCACCATACTTTACAGTATTTAAATTGCGTTAAATACTATTTCACTTTTATTTAACATTTGTGCATATGAAATTGACAAAGTAGATTATTAGTCTTTTTACCATGATTTCCGTTCAAAAAGTATTGTTCAAAGAGCAAGAACTCTTGTTTCATGTCAATTATTTTTTTTGGATTTTTATACACTACTACTCCATTTTTATAGATATTTTGATTTTGAATGACACAAATTTGCTCACAATTGCATTGAAAAAGAAATCCTTTCTCACCTTTCACGACGGCCTTTTGCCTCTTTGTTACTATTTGAATTCTGTGAATTCAGAATGTTTAAAAGTTTGAATGTTTATTGACATTACTATGGTTCTGTTGAAATCAAATGTGTGCAGTTTCTTTTTATTTTCGACTGTCACTTCAATTTTTATATATTTACTGCATACCAATTATGTTGTTTTTATATCTAATAGATGTTTATCTAGATTTTGTTTCAACTTTGATTCAATACAGAGTTTTTCTATAACCCGTTTGTTTTTTTACATTTATTTGTTTGAACAATCAGAAGAAATTTTGATAATGTTATTTACTGCGCCTATATTGAATGTGCGATGAACTAGTAAATATCATACACAGACTTCTTCTTTTTCTTTTTTTTATTTTGTATTTCTTGCTCGTCATACTCTCAATGTATTGGTCTGTTTATAAAATATGTGTGTATTTGTCATGTTTTTGGTTACATATGTATTGGTTGGTTGGTCTTTTTTACTGCGCGAGCGCTTTATCGTTTCAGTGGCCTTACTCAAACCAGTCGCGCAATATTTTAATGTTATACCCATTGTAGCTGTGCATGGTATAAATTCGATGCAAATTTTCAAACCGATCTATATTAAATTACGCACATAAATGAGACGAATTTCCAACGTAATTTGATTAATAGAGTTGTGTTTTGCGCACACAGTATGTGTACCACTGACATGGTATTTTAATTCATATTTTGAATCACTCATGAATGTCTTAATTTTTGCTCCTTCTTCCCGTCATAATACCATTTCATTGAAGATTGCGGGTTATGGTGCATCGTTGGTATTCAAATTTCATTTAAAAACTACTCAACAGAGTCTTTTAACTGCAGATATGAACATACATCTTGTGTGTAAATATATTCTTTTGTATTGCTTATCAACAACCAACATTACATTTTAAATTCAAATTTAATGACAGATATATTTTTTGTCAAAAAATCTAATATGAATACAGAAGAGAAAAATTTGGTCGATCGTACTGAATTTGCAATTGTTTTACACATTTGTAGAACTAATTTTATTAGTATACTTTGATTTGGGTTTGTAATATTTCTCAATCATTTCATAAAACCCAAAGGAATTTTTCAAAGTTCCTGCTTTTTTGGTACACAATTAATAAAAAAAACTTCAAACATGTTTTGCTCGAAAAAGCTTAATATGTAAGATGCTATTACTTTCATTCGATTATTCTTCCAAAAACAAAAAATACATATACACATAAGCATGTGCAAGTATACAATATACAGTTTGCATGTGAATGTTGTATATGTTGTATATGAATCATACAGAGCACTTTCTGAGTGTTACAAGCTGACGAACGAATTTTCCCTACCTTCGCACACAGTTCGCATGTCACACTTTCGCAGTATCCAAGCAAGTATAGACATGATAGATAGAACTGAAGCAGTCAATATTTTTTTTGTTCATCGAAAATTATAATTTCACAAAATCCATAAACTCGAATCTATTTAGGCCATATTGGACTGAATTAACGTGAATTTTTTTTAAACATTGATTCTGTGTTTTAAACTATATTGTAGTGAATCCACACCTATTTTGTTCAACAACAAAATATATATTTTAATGTCCCATTTTGGAGAACACACATGAATTTATCTCAATTAAATACGTGAATTGTGTTGTGTTTGAAACATCTACAAAAAGCAAATTCAATGTATAGCGTTTCGTTTCGTGAATTATTTTGATAAACTAAACCTGAAATGAAACGTACAACATTTGTTCGAAATGACAGATAAAGACTAACGAGATCAAAAGAATTATTATTGTAGACTGGTTAGTGGTTACAGACACATAAAATTAAAGAAATATAGATTTTCCTCCCAAGTGCATTTTATTGAGATAAAAAAACAACTAGAAAGAAATTCGTGCTTCACTAAAACCAAGAATCAAAATTTATTTGAAAATTATATCGGACAAATTTTATAAACGTATTTCAAGTGAGAGTGGTTCATGATCGAATATTTGAGGCTCAAATAAAAGTCGATAGCACAGGCGTAAATAGGAGCGCTATGACTATACAATTTTGACGTTGTTATAATTTGTTAATTCGAACAGTTCCCATTCATCACCATCATTATCACATCACCATCATTACCATTATCTACAACAACAACAACTGTAGTAATGTCATCGAACCCTGGAAGTAATAGCGCAACTGCTAACGCAACTGCCAGTGGAACATCTTCGGTAATATTTCATTAAATTCCAAACTTTACATGAACCGATCTAGTACGGCAAATATATCAATTGAGAGAAGCCAATAAAAGAAAGTTTTCGATTTTTAAAACTAAATAAAAAACTGTAAAACATTTATATCTATCTAAATTACTTTTCAGATAAATACAAACAGCAACAATTCTAGCAATAAAAATAATGATAGTTCAAGTAGCAGTAACACCGAAGACTACAATGAAATCGAAGACCGTCGTCGAAGAATCAAAAATAGGTCCAGGTACGATGTGAAAGAGAACACATTTTGTTGATTTGAGATTTTCCAGCAAAAATAATACTAAAGATTAAATTTTAATCACGCAAAACTTACAATAAATTTGTAATTTTTGGGATCACGCTTGACTTGGTACACCTATAGTGCAGCTGCTCCCTTTTCTTGGAATGCTTGATGAAGTTTTATGCCCATCACTGCACACCAACCTGTTTGTATGAAATAAGAATGATAATGAGTTCATTGTTCATAGTGCTTTGAACCGATATCTTTGATTGAAGTAATCTTTGTAAAGGATGGAATTCTGCAACTAGTATTTGATCAATTTTTTCGTTGCTACGCTTTTTCGGTTGCACCATCTACCAAAAGCACAATGTATTCATTGTTAAACATTATTTTGTGAAATTCATTCACCAGAAAACTGTGCACTTATGTCATCGATTCGTTTTCCCGAATGGTGTTCAAGCTATTATGCGACTATATCCATTAACAGAAGAGATTACCGGGAGAAGTGCATTTTGCTAATAATCAATTCTTCTGCAAAGCTATCAAAATGTTTTTCTGTTACATTGCACTGTAACAAATCTTGAAATACATATTCGTACAGCATGTATGCTTCAAATTTTACGTTGAAGTGAAGAAGAATTTGGTCAACATTGTGATCTTAAATTCGTGGACCTGGCTGATCATCGAATGTTTTACGGCTTCACCACTTTTGCTTATTGATGAGCCGCCAGGTTGGTCAAATTGCGTAACTTTTTCTTTCCGCTTGTAATATCCAGTTAAATGATGATCACGGTGACACGCACCCACACAAGTCCAAACATAGTCCTGTATCATTTTTTTACACTTGATGAGCACACAGTAGTTTGTCAAACCAATTTTATCATATAGCTCCTTTAAACGCTTGTTTTCATTAAGTACATTGCTTGGATTGAGTCATACCAGTCAAACAGAACGCAATCCGTCAAGTATGTAAACAGTGAATCGGGCGACTTCAGCGTAACATCAGGCGTGCGACATGGAAGTAACTGCGGACCCTCAAACGGTCCATTGATAATTTGAAGGCTTGTTGTGATCTCAATAGTCTTCATATGAAGCTGGACAAATGTGCTGTTCTCACAATCAACAAAGGGAGAACAACCATCGCTACGAACTACAAGTACGGTGATCACATCTTTCAACTTGTCTCGGAGCGCAAGGATCTCGGCGTTATCGTCGACAAAAAACTTGTTTTTGAAGCACATTGATGCAACAACGTCATAAGCAACAGCAGCATTGGGATTTGTCAAACGGTTTTGCTACGATATAACCGATGTATAAACACTTTAAACATTGTACTATGCATTGGTCCAATCGCATCTTGAATACTGCAATGTGATGTGGCTACCATTTTATGACGTGCACAAAAACAAAATCGAGCGTGTCTTAAAACAATTTACCCGGAAGGGATATTCTAGTGAAGCAAACGGATATAAAATTGCTTTTTACAAAGAGCGACTCGCCGCACAGAACATGACATCTTTGAATCGAAGAACGCAGCTATTACATGCATTAATGACATCGTGAATCGGACACTCAAACTGTCCGACGATATTGCAGCAGGTACAAATATTCGCAACTGGCGTTGCAACGAATACTTGAAAATCAAGGACAAGGGCATGAAATTAGCACTTACATAACCAGTGCCTCAAATGTGCAAGCTTGCAAAGAGTTTAGCTAATTTATTTACCAACTCCAAGTCTCGAGCCAACTTCATCTCATCGGTTCGAAGCACTCCAGACACAGTCTTTCAATTAAATTAATGACAAATTGTTTTTGATTACATGACTTTTAAATGTACATTATATCCCCGTCAAATGGAAACGCTCGAGTGTATCACCCATATTCAAAAAGGAGGCGAGATCGAAAATTACCGTTGCTAAGTTGATTTTTACGTAGCAAAATATTTTAAAATGTCAAATTCCAGCACATGTTGACTTTTTCGCAAAATGCAGAGATCTCATTTTGTATATGCCGATTTTTCGAGCTATTAGTAGTTGCTATTTATAGGCGATAGCTGTTGATATTTTGAAATAGCAGCCACTGAGTTCGCCATGTTTATTTATTTTCAATTATTTATTTAAACCGCCAAAAGACTGGCTGAACAATTTGTTTTGTAGCTTGTAGGAAAATGACTCCAAGAGTCATGAAAAACCGCCCGTATGCAAACTGAGGAATGGTACTGCTTCTTCTTCTTAACAGATACTGTAAGTCACCATATTGGAAGAAATAATGACAATACACTATAAATATTCAATATGGCCGCTTCCATTGTGCACGATTGTGTGTACGATAGTGTGAAGAAGAAGTAGTAGCATGCACGAAAAGTATAATTCATTCAAATTGGTCATATCGCTCGGTCTCGACATAATTGTAAATTCAAAACTACCAACAGGGACTTGTTCAGATTAGACGTGAAATTTCTCTTTAATTTATCACCTCTTTGATAAATTGAACGATAACTTTTGCGGTCATTGAGGTCAACACTAATATGTTTAACGCTCCAGTTAGTCTATCATTTCTCAAACGCGTTGTTAGATTATCTTGAATCGTTGACAATCGGCTTTCATTAGACATTTTCATGTTTGGTCATTCGCTTATTAATAAATTAGGTTATTCTTTTGCCTAGTCGCGAACCAATATTTATGTAAAATTAAACTATACCCTATACTGTATAAAAATAAAAAGATCAGTTTTCAGACTCTTAGAGACTCTTCTGTTTAACTTGTGATATTTTCAGATTATTTACTGTATTGTAAGTCTTTATATTGTTAATTGTGATAGATCCAGCCATTGAGTTGGTGTTGATATTTTGATAATGTTTTCTCTAAATATTGGAAACTATTTACCAATTCTAAATAATTTGTAAATGATGTATTCTACTATCAAATCAAATTAAATCCTAGCAACGTAAATCCTTGGTGTCTTCAGCGAAGTTGTAGTACTGAAGGTCTGCTGTAGACTTTGCCAAAGACAGATATCCTTTATATCTTATCAATTCCGCAAAATACGCGAAAAGTAGCGAATTTTCGCCTTCTAATTTTTCACGGAACGGACAAGAGATAAATGACATATCTTTGGTCGGAAAAGATAAGATTATCTTATCTTTGGTCGGAAAATTTCTACTATGCTTTTACAAAACTATAAGAACCTTTACATATTTTTGTAAAAATGGACCAGAACTTTAATAATAAATTCGAGAAATTATGATTTCTATCTTCTATCCTGGTTTTTGGAACACTATGTAATTTCTTTTTTTGTCCTAATTTTTACAGAAATAATGTGCGCTTATCTTCAAAGGCCCAACTGCAACAAGCACGCCGTTCACCATTGCCGAGCACAAGTAATTCCATTTTAGTATCGAACGCAAACTGTTCATTTGTTTCAACAAACAACAATGTACAGTCCCCATCGACATCTTTGCCAATTTTGCCAACAATCATTGGTCCAACCGAAAATCGCATCACACTTTTAGTCGACGAAACGCGTTTTACAATTGATCCAGCGCTATTTACAGCTCATCCAAACACAATGTTAGGTCGGATGTTCAGTTCTGGAATGGAATTCACCCATACAAACGAAAGAAATGAATACGAAGTGGCTGAAGGAATATCGAATTCAGTATTTCGTGTAATACTGGATTTTTACAAACATGGTGTTATCAGATGTCCACCAAATGTTTCAGTCCAAGAACTCCGGGAGGCTTGTGATTATCTATTAATCCCATTCGATGCAAAAACTATTCGATGCCAAAATTTGCGTAAGTTTCTTAGTTGAACAGACTATTCGTTTGCGTACGTATACTTGGGTTTCACCCAATTTACCAATACATTCTGTTTTCGAAAATAATTTGTATTTGTATACTCCCAGAAGTCATGAACAAGGCAACCATAAATATTTATGAAAAAACTCGAAATATTTATTTATTTATGCACGATAAAACGGCGAAATATTTACGTAATATTTACGATAAAGTTGTGGAAATATTTACAATAAAGCTAAATATCGCCAAAATATTTACGAAATTTTTTTCGAACATATTTTTGGAAAATATGGAAAATTTAAAAAAAGTTCGATTTTCTAATCACAAGTTTTAGGAAAATAAAAGTCGTAAAATATTCATTTTTGATGAAAATCAACTGAAAATATTTACGAGAAAATGCCAAAACCTTGAAATATTTTCGAAAAACTAAAAAATGGCGAAATATTTATTTACCGCCAGAAGATGCTAAAATATTTATTTAATTAAATATTTTTGGTTGCCCTGGTCATGAAAAACCTGATCTTTTCGTGCTTATACAATTAACGTGCTTATACTAACTAATAGATAGTATTGATTTAAATAATGGTTTGCGACTTGTATGATATGAGAGTTTGATATGTGAATGATCTAATAAATGAAACCTAACCAAAACATGGAAATGAATAAAGATATCCGCATGTCAACGGTTCAATATAGCCTAATATGAACGTGTAAAAATGAAACTAAATACTAACTGAAATACTAAAAATTGTATCATAATCTTTTATTTCAACTTAAGGTGGCCTTTTGCACGAACTGAGTAATGAAGGAGCACGATGTCAATTTGAGGTGTTTTTGGAGGAGCTTATTCTTCCCGTTATGGTTGCATCTGCTGAACGGGGTGATCGAGAATGTCATGTGGTGAATTTGCTGGACGATGATGTTGTTGATTGGGATAAAGAATATCCACCTGAAATGGGCGAAGAATATAGTCAAACGGTTGCAAGCACTGCCATGTATCGATTTTTCAAATATATTGAAAATCGCGATGTTGCTAAACAAGTGATGAAAGAACGCTCACTGAAGAAAATTCGCTTAGGCATCGAAAGTTACCCAACGCATATTGAAAAGATTAAAAAACGTCCTGGCGGACGCGCAGAGGTGCGTATATATATATGTATATATATAAATATGTACATATATTTCGATCTTGGCATATAATTACTCCTGTTGAAAAATGATAGCATTTTAATTCTTCAACTCATTTCTGATCTTTATTAGGTTATTTACAATTACGTTCAGCGCCCATTCCTCCACATGTCATGGGAGAAAGAGGAAGCCAAAAGCCGCCATGTAGATTTTCAATGCGTCAAATCGAAATCGGTTACGAACCTAGCCGAGGCAACTGCAGATCTTCCACTGGATGCTGGTAAAACCTATCGTTATTATTATCAGTAACAATAAACATATTCAGTTGTAGCTCTGTCAAACATTTTTTATTAGTTCCACATCAAGATATATAACAGTTGTTCTCTTTTATACGAATGAATGCAATAAAATTTACTCCATTATTTCTTCGGAAATTCTTGTTTTTTTTTAATTATTATCATTTAAAGTATTTTACATTAGTTGTAAATATTTTGGACCTAATTTAAGACAAAATATTTTATTCGAATTATTTGCATTGCATTCATGTTTATGACGCTCATAATTGACACTAATTTTTTTCTACTTTTTTTACGATCAAAATGCGTATTTTCTTTTTAAATCTGTAGGTGTTAATTCAATGCCTCAAGTGCAACTTATGCAACCAGATCCACTTCCACGTCATGTTGATGGTGTTATTGAAGATGGCGTTTTAAATATAAATTTGCAAGATCCAGACGAAAATTAATTAATGTAACGATGTGAATTTATAATAAATTTCCATATAAATGATTAATTTTTTATTTTTGGAATTTTAACCAGTATAATATAACTAAAACCGAAAATATGTCCGTCCGTCCGTATGTTCCACTATAACTTTGATTTATTTAATTCTTGGCTCAAAATCCTTTGGCGCCCTTTCAAGCTGGAATTTTTAAAGGGGAGTGAAAAAAACGTGGAAATGATAAAATTTATCCAATTTTTTTTGAATAGCAACAAAAGAACGATACATTAAAATGACTTATAAGGATGTCTTATTTCTTGCTTTTGAAGTGGCAAACTCTTCAATCACGTCGTCATATTGATTCAAATTGGCTACATCGCTTTCTATTGATATGATTGCCAGATGATTCAGCCTATCTTGACCTGTTGCATTTCTGAGATAAGTTTTGGTCAACTTAAGCTTTGAAAATGATCGCTCTCCCGTTGCAACGCAAACTGGGATCGCCAGCAATATGTGAAGCGCAACAACTGCATTTGGAACTAAGTTTTCCATTTTTCGCTTCTAAATTGAATTCAGTATATTATTATTATTATTATTATATATCAAGTTTCTTCATGCTTACATATAGTTGTACAATGATTGAGTTTTACTAATTTAAATGACTTTACAATTTATGACCACACTATACACGGAACAATATAAAGATTTCTTTCTTTCATCATTACATGTTATGGTATATAAATAATTAACCAGTCCATATATGTACATTTTTAGGACCAAAAATTCAATCGATTCCGTGATTAATATTATCTTGTTTCACTAAAGTCGGAACCAATGCAAGTTCTACAAATAGTTCATCACCACCCATACTGATTTTCCATCAAGCGTTGAAGCAACTTCAAGTTTTTTGCATGATTTCTGCAAACTGCCGTTCTTTCGGTTTGCTTCATAGTTTTCAAAATCATGAAGAAACGAGAATAATTCGTTGTATTGCTTTAAAATGATCAGTGTTTGAATCAGTTGCGGATTCAATGATTGGCAAGAAAGCTTCTGTTTCAAATTCCTCTGCACATTTGTAACAGTTGTTCTAGCCGCTCGAGGTTTTTGATGATCAAATTTAACTTCAATCGAAATGCGTTCGCAAGTTTCCTTTGCTTCATTGAGAGGCTTTTCGCAGCCATTTTCAGCGCTCAAGCACTATTAGTTTAAATTGGAAATTTTCAATGTTCTTAAATCGGAGGCGAGTGCGCTTTTTTTCATAAATATTTCTTCTCAGTTTGGAATTCAAGGGCGCCGAAAAAAGGCAAGGGCGCCGAAAAAAGGCAAGGGCGCCGAATGGAAGTATTTTTTATTTTAAAATAGAGAATGGCTTTATTAATTTGGTCCCTGGTTTTTTGAACCACTTGAACCCCCGCTAGGAATGGCTCTGGTGTCGATACAGGCTTTTCGAACAGGACGGTGAAAAAGCGATCAAACTATGTTTTGAGGCTGTTGTCCAAAAAAAGAAGAAATTCGAAAATTGGATGAAATTGCCCATCGAATATCGCCAAATGGTTGGAGAATAAATCGGCATCGACTTCCAGTGCCCAAAGACTGAATAAAGGTGTCAAACGGACGGACTGTCTGTCTTTTTAGCCCGTCCGTCCGTCCGTCCAGGGCTCTTGAAATTTTTTTTGTCCATCCGTCCGTCCGTTCAGAGCCGCTAGAAATTTTCTTGTCCGTCCGATCAACGACGGACAGACGGACAAGAAAATTCACGAGGATCCTGAACGGACGGACGGACAACAAAATTTTCGAGGTTCCTGAACGGGCGGACGGACGGACAACAAAATTTCTGGCGGACAGACGGACGGACAAAAAATTTCGTTTTTCATTGATTTTTGACGCAAAAAATACAAAAAAAAATTTTAGTAACTGATTTGTAATTAGCTTTTGAAACCGCTCAAACCTATTTTCACGTCAAAAATCAATGAAAAACGTAATTTTTTGTCCGTCTGTCCGTTCAGCGTTGATCGGACGGACGGACGGACAAAAAAATTTCTAGCGGCTCTGAACGGACGGACGGACGGAAAAAAAAAATTTCAAGAGCCCTGGACGGACGGACGGACGGACGGACGGACAAGGTGCTTGTCCGCTGACACCTTTAAGTCTGAAGCCCTTGGAAATTCTTCAACATGAATTGTACAAAACCAACATAAAAACTCATCGGTGGAAGCGGGTGCGTTGGTTTTTACAAAGAACCTCCGAAACGATTTCGGTATCAAAATTATCCCGAAAGAGGTGCCGCATGTCCATAGCAACAATTCAGACTTTATACAACACATATACAGACGAATCCCCACTCTTTTCACAGTTGCGACCGATGTGAACTGTCGCTGAATGCTATTGCATCGCTGCTATTGCGAGTGTATATCTGTCAACAACATACCGTTGGGTTTTGGTTCTCAATTATAAGATTTCAAATACTTTACACTCGCACACACAAAGCAACACGCTCAAAATATGTAAACACCGATACGGTGTCTGTATGAATACTGCGTTTCATTTTTCTAAGTAATTTGTGTTGGTGCATCGCACGAAAATTGTTAGATGCTACAATATGACTTGTTGCTTTTTCATACAACCGTGAGCAGTGGGCATCACTGTGAGCAATGGCAATACAAATAAATAACTATTCATTTCAATACGTATTGCTCATCCTTCACTCAAGCGTCAGTTATACCGTATTACGCACGCACATTGAAGTGCGAAAGAGACAACCGATCATATTGCACTATCGTTTATCTTCTGTATTACGCATCACTATAGATGATACAGAGAGAGACAGATGCGGACACTGCATTGGTGTTTGTGTATCTCTGTGTGGGGAACAACGTAAAATCTGTGTAGTTGTTGATGTTTACTAAAATGAAACACGAATTCAAGCACTAAAGCGACCTCTGAAAAGATTTTTTCCATAGGGCAGAAATCGATCGGTTTTTTACGGTACTTCTTTGTGCATACCGATGGAACGAGTCTGAGTTCGATGAAAATATGGAGCCGGATGAACGAGTGTTGATAAATGACTCCGACTACAACGCGTTGTTGAAATACTTGTTTTTCCAGCGACCATTGGACCCTGATTCCGACTGCAAGAAAGATTTGTATGAATATTTCCTGGAGCAATTGCGAGAAATTGGTGGTCCAGCAAACAATAACATGTTTGGTTTCGTTACAACTCATTGGTTTCAATCGCTGTACATATTTTGTCGCATTCAACGCGTTGTTGAACAGTTTCACAATGACACTGTGGGCTTGGAAATACAGTGGAAGGAACACAAACGAGATCGTATGATGCCGCAACCAAGTGCACTACGTCCATCGAGTGTTAGAAATTTCGCAGTGATTCCAATGAATTCATTCAAACTGAAACACATACCGATCAAGACGAAATTGTTGTTAGCTCTCACCAACAAATCGATAAATCCAGACAGTGAGGAGAAATGCGCACCGTGATGAAAATTGGGCACATTATTTCGATATGGTGAGAGCCAAGCTTAAATTCCGCTAACAAATTATGATAGATAGTATGTCCGCATCGGTTCTGTTCAACAAGCCAAAACAAGAGCAAACGGAACTCTCACCCGAAGATATTCTTGCAATGTATCGGGATTTTTTCTACGAAGTTGGAGTGGACCCTGGTCTGAAAACTCGCAATGCGTCCGTGAGACGAACAATCGACACAGAAGAAGAGGTATGACTTGTACCTAGTGTATTTTGCTTATTTCGCATGTGGTGATCGTGCGATCGAATCATTTTGTTGATTTCAACAATGCTTTGTTTGTTTCGCCCATAGAAAAACATCAAAATCAGCAGCAAACGCTATCACTGGGTAGCAAAACAGCCGATTCGGAATCGCATAGGAAAACATCTGACAGCAGATTCTACGAAGATTGAGCAAGACGATTTGAAAGCACAAGTGATGCCTTCGCCACGAGGTTCGCAGTACATGTCGTACATTCGTCATCGCTTGAGAATGCTACTAAGAGGTATGGCTGCGTATGCCACTCGCCAATATGCTCGGCTTCGCTTGGCCAAATACATTCAATCAACTCGAAGCTAACGATAACATAGTCATTCGATTGACGAATGGTAAGCTAACCATTTTCTTCATGAGCGCCATAAAGATTTCACCAGATTTGCCATTTCGCATAAAGAATCATTTTCGCTGTCCGGGAACTCGCAGATTGGTGGAGTCTGAAGTCTATTCGCAAACAACAGAATTGTGTCATTCGATTCGTAGCGGAGCCATACACATCGCAAACATGTACAAGATGCTTGCAGCGATTTCCACGAAACACACGAAGTCATCGATTCAAGGTGTGCCACAATTGTGAACCGAAGCCAGAAGTTGGATTGCCAGACATTATTGTGACACAATTGAGCCGGCGACAATTGAAATCGGAACGTGAGAAATTGCGACCAAAACCTTAAGTAAAGTGGTTGGAAATGCAGCAGAAAATCCAAATCAACAATTGAACAATCGGTTGGTGTCTCAGGTTAAAGTATACCGTAAAAACTGGCGATCAATCATTGAATCAAACGTTGAAACGGAGAATGCTGCTGAAGCCGCATACGTCGAAGATCTAACGCATCTTACTTTCGAAGAGGCGGAGGCCTATTTACAGCAAAGCAACGAATCAAATCAGTGTCCAACAGGACTGAAAACAGTTTGGCATCGTGATACAGTGGCTGCAAAATTCATCTTATACAAAGATAATATTTTGATCGGCATGCAAAAATGGAACAGAAAAAGTTGTTATTATACATTGTTGTTCGTGATTTCAGGCTGTTCAATTTTGAGCTGTTCAATGGATACACTCCCGATATATTCGTACTGGATCGTGGGCTCTAAATATACTTCGACGGGTTCAATACATACGTGGTTGAGACGCAGTAAAACGTAGCAGCATTTTAGTTTTAGATTTGATTTTTCGATTTTAATAATAATTCATAATAATTCATGTATCGTTAAGTTATTCTGCTGGAAGTTGATTTTGTACTCCTGCCAAATTACCTACCGCTGACAAGTAATATAACTAAAAAGGCAAGTAATTAGATGAAAACTTCAACATCTGTTCATTTCTGCGTATCAATATATTTATTTACTATAGTAATTATCTATGATTATTATAGTTTTTAGGCTTTTTTTCGTCAAAATCGAATAAAATTTTAGTGTAAATGAAAATTTTTATTAAAATATATCTACTTATTTAGAATATACATTTTCGGAACGCTATCCGGCATCTGTCAAATTCAAACATTTGAAATGACATCCATTCCAACTACTGCGTCAACCGAACTGTAAACAAACATTTTACAAGAATTTCGATTTGTGTATTCGTTGCACATTAGGCGTGTAATTTTGGAATGAAAACCCAGAGTCGATTCTTCTCTTTCATTGCATGCAACGCAACATAACACAACGGACTCATTTGTTATTGTGGTTTGTATTTGTTTACTTCGATTCCGTTATGACATTCTACATCGACACATATTGAAATTGACATATGTTGAGGAAAGTTGTAACAACCACACATTGAACTGATTTGTGTGTGCGTTATTTATGTCAAAACCATATTCAGTTTAAAGGAGTGCACTAGTAGAACTACGACGCAACTACGCACCAAAATGACAGTTCCATAAAGTATACTGAATATTGAGTCTATAAACGCTATGTATGAAGATTGACAATCTTTATATTTTCACATCATTCTAATTTGTAATTTTTTTATTTTTGTTGGACCAGTGAATTGTAAAATACATGAAAATTCGATTCATTTATATCTATGACACGAATTCAACAATAGGATTCATCCTATTAATATTCAATGAACAGTTTTCATTACTCCTGAAATGCACATAAAATATTTTGTCTGTGTTCGACGTATCTAAGTACGTTAAGTACGTTCAAACCACTAGTATACAAACAAAGCGATTAATAATAACGTTGTGTTCAACAAGCGGCTTCCAATGTCCAAGTGGTTTTTTTCTAATGTCCATTATTTTCAAATCCAATATGTTAAATTTACTTTGAAATATTATGGAATCGTTTGAAATCTATGATAGATAATGACAATGATCCAATTTCTAGGTTATGTTTTCAAATCTAATGCAAATGAGTTCCCTGTATAATTTTCATACAATTTGTTGATATTTTTCGTTTTTGAAAATCTTGGTTTTGATTTTTTGAAGAAAAGAAATGATAGAACGACGGATTTTATTTATTCACAAGCGTGCAATCTACTACGTAGCAAGAGTCACAAAAAGTGACAAGCGCGTAGTTTTCACGGCGCCACTAGAAAAAACCCGCACTAGTGCACAGCTATGCAGCTTGATGTGTTAAATGTGTCTGGTTGCATTGATCTGAGCATTTGAAAAGGCAAGTCAATTATTGTGAATATTATTCGATTTATAGTGATTGGTTTTTTATTTTTGCTCAAATTATATCGTTGATTGTACATAAATCGGCTATTTTTCTTATTTCACATGTACTTTTTATTTTTACGTCGAGTCATCTTGAAAAACCAACCGTTTTGGCTATATAAAAAAACTTACACTTGTGTTGTTGGCGGATCTTCAAAGACCCAGGTGTTCCATGGCCCACAACTCGAACTGTGTGAGAGGAATCACTTTCATGTCATCAGCAAAATTTTAGCTCTATCCATGTAGATTAGGGGTGATCAAATTTCAAAGAAAAAATGATTCAAAATGTAATAGTGCGGGATCGAAAGATCACGAGGAGAGATGAAAATTTTGTTCCGGCACTTTTTTGTTATATCGTACCTGGTGTCACCCCGGATTTTTTTTGAAAATCACCTAAAAAATGACCCTTTTTTGAAATATCATCGCAATTTGCTCTAAATGTGATGCATAAACATAGCGTTTTTTGGTTGTGATTTAGTAGCTCGTAGAAAATTATGTTGAATAGGATCGATTCACAGCGATTTTTTTCAGGATATTAAAAAAAAAAATAGTGTCAATTTGCCAAAAATCGCCGAAATTTGTCATTTTTCTGTATATTTGCCCATTTATGGTGATCCAGTCCACTATAAATCAATCTGAAAATACCTCTATCCGACTCAGTTTGTTCCTAACTATCGATATAACGCCATATCACAACTCAAAATGTGTCTCTGGACATGGATAGAGCAACAAATATTCGAAAATC